CAGCGTTTCTGGAGTGACCTATACTGTTGGACAAGCTTACAAGAAAGACAGAGGGTCTCATCTTGTTCAAGACAATGTTTGTCGGGACTTGCGTAAGGATATAACCAACAAAAAAGATGCTAATAATGGTGTTGTACTGTGTCCCAGCTAGCCCAATGTCTTTTTCAAAATTCCCTAGTCGAGCGGTTGCGATATTATTGCGGTCGAGGTAGTTTAGGACATCTCACGCTGTTAGCATATCTATTTGCCAAGACCTTACTCCAAACAACGTAGCGTATGTTATGACTTACAGAGCAGCATCATCAAAGGCATCATTCGCATATCAATTCTCCGCAACAAGGCTTTTTCTTTCTCCGCTCTATTCTCAATAAAGACATTGCCATCCACAGCCTTGAGATCAACACCAACGGTTTCGAGGTGAATTTCCCCAACCCCAGGTTTGACAATGTCTTGTTCAGCCATTCTCGATTTGCAGATTTAGAATCTCAAGGACGTGACAATACAGAGCCACTTTTCAATATCCGAATCTTCGGGCATTTCCCCATATATAAACCCCGCGTAACCATCTCTCCACAGTGGTGTGGGGGCTCGCATCGATTGCCGGTCGGCATTTTGGCGACGAGCCCCACACTCAACGCGACGGCTTCACCGCATTGGGCGAGAATCAGTTGATCAAAAAATGAATCCACGGTCGAGCCGAGCCATAGGCTGCATTCTTCGCAAGGAAACATAGTAAAGGATTGAAATCGTGTCTGAACTTTCCGCATCAAGAGTTCCTCCGCGTACCTTTTGACGAATTAAGATGCGACGGTACAGCTCTACGGACTTCTAGTGGCCTCTTTGGCAATAATGTATATTCTAAAGCATTCAGCATGCTGACGTGACTGACTATCAGAATCATTTGAAATTGCGACATGTTGTTAACATATTGTGGAGTTTTAGCGCCGCATGGCTCGCGAGCTCTGAGTCGTCCTCTGAACTGCGAAGATCAAATTTCTGTGATATCAATAACCCTGTTCTATCAGTGACTATATTAGGCCACTGTTGGTGATAGAAAGTGTGAGCTTGCAATGATTTCCTAGAATGGAGATCCTGGCTATAAGGTGTTACATGCTGAGCAATTTTTAACCAGTATCAGCATCTTTCTTCATCCACCTAGTACAGACTCAAGAAGGCTGTGAATTCCGTATTCTTGACAGAAAAGGGTCACCACTCCCAACGAGACTCAAGGCGTGAAATTACTTTAACATAATCTAAGCATTCCCCACGGAAATTGTGACCGAAAGAGCGTATTTGACAAATGGTCCACAGCCTAGGCACATAGTAAAGATGTGGTGGATTGATTGAGTAAATTCACAAGCTTCATCAAGAGTATAATCCACGCCTGAAAGATATAATATAGAAAAGCACACTAAGAGGTGGGCCCAGTCAGCAATCCCGCGTTTGTGCACATGCCTAATCCGTTAAAGACAGTTGTTTAGGTGAGCTTCAATCTTCTGGTCTTTTTTTGTACTGCTCGTTCTGACCAGCCGTAGTTTACCGAAGGTTGTTTTGAAAGATACGACGCAAATCTACCAGAAACAGATAGGCTAGATTTTCTGGGTTGTTTAAGAAAAGAAGATCAAAAAGGAGGAACAATGACACAAGCTGACATGGTAAACCATCTATCTAACGATTTGTGAGAATTGAACGCATGGGTTTAGTAGAGGCTGTACTGACTCACTCTTCAAGGCTGGCAGGAAGTGATACAACGGCTATCTCTCTTCGAGCGATTCTTTACTTCCTTCTGAAGAATCGACACTGCTTTGACAAGGCTCAAGCAGAAGTCGACCAATCTGATGGAGAAGGGAGGTTATCGAAGCATATCACATATGCTGAATGTTTGGAGCTGCCTTTTCTGTAAGTTCACGCTTAATCTTAATTGAAATTACAGTGTCTTATCCTCTTGCAGGCAGGTAGTAATAAAGGAAGCCATGAGATGTCACCCGGGTGTTGCTTTTCCATTGGAAAGGGTTGTCCCTAAAGGCGGGGCGGTTATTCGCGGCCACCATATCAAAGCGGACACTGTTATAGGCATCATTCCGGCCGTCATCCACAAAGACAAATTAATTTTCGGTATCGATGCCGACAAGTTTAACCCAGAAAGGTGGTTGGTCTCTGACAAGGACTGCATCAAGTACGTGGATCGTAACCTGATGACGGTAAATCCATTTATACCCGTCTTCTTAGAATGTCACTAATATTATGCCATAGTTCGGGTTTGGTACGAGGACTTATATCGGCAAGAACATCTCCATAATGGAAATGGGAAAGCTCATTCCGCAGGTTCTGCAGAATTTTGACCTAGAATGGGCATCGGAACAACCTCCATGGGGCGTAACTACGTACTGGTTTGCCAGACAAGAAGGGGTGATCTATAAGTTTAGACAAAGAAAAAGAGCTGATACTCAGTACTGAGAGGCTTAGGGGAGAAATTTTCCATTGTTAGTCCTGTCCACGATTACTGTGTAATATTCAAACGCGGCATCCTCTATATATTTACCGTGTCCATAGCTTTGAAGGCGCTCTCCCGGTTGCCCCTTCGTATGTCAATTTCGACCAACATCGACTTTTTGGGAGAGAGATCAAGCTTCGGTAAAGGAGCTAAGTCAATAGCCAGTATTACTCGCGCTACAGAGTCCATCGAAGACAGATTCTGTATTTCTATTGAAACAGAGTAGCAGTGTCTACTACTAACCAACACTCTCTCAAGATATCACATAGCACACAAAGAAGCCACTGAGGCTTGAGAACGTATCGAGAATCAAGAAATAGCCATTCTTATATTATAGTAGCAATAGCTCGGTGAAGCGAATGACAATGAAGTAAGTATTAGCGAATCAGTCAACTGACTGCTGTCACGGCTAAGATCATGCTCCCCCAACTCACTGCGTATGCAACAAAGATGATTACAAGTTCTACTTTGTTGTCGATAGGTGTCTAGCTCTGTCTTGGCAACGAACCGATGTAGTCCGTGCTAAGTTGCCGCCAATGACTAGACTCCATCGCAAAATCAATCCGACCTAGTCTTGCAATGCCCTTATATTAGCGGGCCATCTTGCGCCTTCATTGCCGGGTACACCAAAGGGCAAAGTACAACTATAAGTATAGACCAATGGACTACAACAACTTAGAATGACGACTCATCAAGCCAGCACTCATGTTATAGATCAAAATTTCGAGGCTCCGTACTTTAGATATCAATAAAAATGAAGTTATCCTCCTACATCGCCCCTTTATTGGCTACAGCACTATCTTTTCCTGTAGAAGCCGCCGAGATTAAGAACACCGATGATCCAACGCTGCAGCTAAGTACAGATTCGGCATTCAATTTTGGACTCTTGATTGCGCTGGGTGATGCATTGACTGGGGGATCTGATATTGCGCCTGTTCTTAGCGTCGCAAGAAACATCAAAGTATGACTTCTTTCGGCGACTAGGTCTATTAGCTCGCTAACTACGCCAAAGCCGAGGCCGAAAACCAAGAAAACTCATATGACAGTGTCAATGTTAGGGACACTTGGTTCTCCACCGCCTAATACTTCCGTCGAGCCGACTTCTATCTGCACAGAAATTGGAGTAATCCGCTTATAAGCAGCCTTTGGGCGGAGCAGACTGCAGCCTTTGATAAGGCGATAGCTGCCTTGCCCATCCCTGGTGAACGTATCCGAATTCCGGCTACTAAAAGCAACTTTACCATCAAGGCTTCTGGTATGACGCATCAGAGAGCCAACTCCGTAAGTTGCCAACCTTAGTGGTGGGGAATGGCTACGACGCCGCTCAAGAGGACTCCTATCACTACTTCGTTGCACCCGCTCTTGCTCGAGGGTGGAACTGCATTACTTACGAAGGCCCGGGACATCCTACTGTACGTCGACATCAAAATAGTGGTTTCATTCCGGACTGGGAAAACGTCGTCACCCCAGTAGTTGACTACATCCTCTCGGAAAAGTCGCGTATTGTCGACAAGAATCACCTTGCACTTATTGGTAACTCTTTTGGGGGTTACTTGGCTGCCCGTGCTGCAGCCTTCGAGCCACGACTTGCCGCAGCGGTTCTCCTCGATGGCGTCTGGGATGCTTATGCTGCTTTTACAGCGCAATTGACGCCAGAGATTATAGCCATCTACAAGGCGGGCAACTGTACAGAGTTTGATAATGAGCTATTGTCACTGCGGGATGCCGGCAAGCTATCCACTAACGCGGCTTGGGGTCTGGATCAAGGCTTGTGGGCATTCCACACACACTCTCCCTCAGACATTTTCACCCAGAGCAAGGAATATCGGCTAGAGAATGTCGTTGATATGATTCAAATGCCAGTGTTTGTTGGTGACTCCGAATACGAAGCCTTTTTTCAAGGTCAACCGCAGCAAGTTAAGGATGCTCTGGGCGACAATGCGACTCTGCATCGTTTCAATGGAATTGCTGGCTACCATTGTCAGACTGATGCAGCACAGGAGATGACAAGGGCAATTTTTGCTTAGCTAAACAAAACCTTGGGAAATGTTGCTAGGCGCTGATTTCCCCGAGAACGCCTCGGCGGAGAGCAAACTTCCTCGGTTGTGATGATCGCGGAACATGCGACGTCTTGGGATAGAAAATATCCTATTTGTTGAAAGAGTTTGGCATCTGTCGTCTGACAGTTAAAGGCTTGAACAGTAATTGACAAGAGATAATATTTTGAAATGTGAGGAGTATTTGTAACGAAGAACGTGGCTTGAATAGTACGTGAAGTGCGTTGTAGTAATTTATATTGCCTGCAGCCCCTCACAACAGATCTCTGCTCTAGTTCCCCTGATTGGATTAGGATTATATGAGCTACTCTAAAATTCAAAGACAATAAGATACCAATGAAGCATGCCTAAACATCTACCGCGTACATCGTATAGAACGAGTCACGGTGTATGAAGTGTAGTCGAAAATTTATTGCAGTACCTGTCTTGCAATCTCTCTTTTCAAGTGATCAGTTCTTGCGTCCAGATAGATAAGGAGCAGTGAAGTTAGATGGATTAGGAAGGGTAGAGACAACATCTTTACGAGATGTCTTCTGGATCAAATGATCAAAAGATGGTGCCCATTCAACACGAGGGGTGAATGGCTCAAAATCCCAGAGGTACCCAAGGGTTCGAAGAATAGAGGAAGCACAATACGATACAGTCTCGCCCCGATGATTGGTACCATATTGCTCAACCTCTCCCTCGGCGATCCATGGTGAGATGAGGAAAGTGGGAATGCGGCCACCAAGACGGTTGAATTCGTATGTATAGTTGAGTCCGTTGGGCGTCGTTTCGGTGTATGTCAGATTATCAGGGCGTGGGGCAAGCGGAGGAGGAACGTGGTCATGGAAGCCGCCAGACTCATCAAATGTCAATATGAAGAGAGAGTTCTCCCACTGGGGGCCCGCACGTAGAGACTCATAAACTTTTTTTATAAAAGCTTCACCGTCTGAGATCAAGCCGCTGTCATGCATGGAAGTGGTACCAATGCCACAGCAGGACGGGTTCAGATAAGAGAAGGCCGGGAGATTCCCAGCAAGAGCGTCAGTGTAGAATTGGGTGATGGGAACAACTTTGTCGGAGTTGTTTGTTGCTTGAGTCCAAGTATATGCCTTAGCTTCGGGGCCAGTTCCACCGGCAGTGTCCCAGTAATTGAGCCAAGTCAGGTTCCTCTCACCCACTGCCTCAAAGATTGACGGGACGTCGAATTGATACGTGTAGTCCGTACCAAGGTTGGTACCATGGCCGTGCGAGCTACCAGACGTAGCAGCCAAACGGTTGGGATCAGTAGGCTATATAGAGTCAATTCCAATGCTCCAACTAGTTTGTAGAGCCATGTACTTACACCCGCGACGTCAGAATGCCAATGATTGAAGGTCAAGAAGTTCTGGACGAGGGAAGTCATGACGGGAACTTGATCCTCAGTGTAATAATTCATGACCTGGATTGCCAGCTCCGTAATATTGACCTTGGAACCATAGTTGTGATATTGCTCCGTGATGAACCCGAGATTGTTAGCCTTCAGGGTTCCATCAGCAATAGCCGCATTATCAGGCGTCCAGGTACTATAAAACTCCATGGTATTACCACTAACAGCGTGGCTGGGGTCATTTTTGACAGAGTCGTAGTCCCTGGCCTGAGAGCAAGCTTTGCCCAAGCATGTTTTCGACACATTGTAAGGATTGCAGTAAGGGCCATTCTGGATAGGGTTCTCCAGGCCTTCGTGTTTCTGGCCACCCAAGAGGTTGTCAAAGGAGCGATTCTCCATAATCAGCCATACCACATTCTTGATGTTGTTCTTTAGGTTGGAGATTGAGGATGCAGAACCTGGTTCAGGAGTCTGCTGCTGGGAACTAGCGCTAGGAAGAGCTACGGCGGCAGTGGCAAGGGCCAACATGCCAAGTAAAGTAGTGCGATGCATGGTGAACGATCAAAATATGGTTGACGGGTGGAACGTGGACTGACATGTCTCGGCTATTGCTTTGCCAAGACCGTGGCTCTCGTTGTGCTTATAGCTTCCAGTCGGGACTTGCAAATACATGGCAACTCTCGCAGAGCTCTGTTGCAACGCCCACGTGTGCGCTGGGACGCGCAACACTCAACCTGAATTACTTAGTTGTCTGGGTGGATCACAAGATTCCCTACTCTTTTGAAGGGGTTTCTCAGCAATGAGTTCTGGTGATTGGAAGTTCAACAAGGACCGAAGGATAAGATCTGCAAATGGCGCCAATCATATCAATGTGTATACGGATATCGGGAATAGTTTCATAGGTTAGCTGCACGCTTGCTTTGGTTCCTGAAGTTATCCTTGTAAGCACATGGCGATAGGTGACCAATCAAAGTGGCACAATTCAGCACATGAAGCCTCAAACACGCTTCCTGGGCAATACGGATTCGCACAATATTGGGCCGCTTTTCCGGTTCTATGGGGATAACAATTAGATAGCTACCCACCTTCAATCCATTTTGCCAAGACTAACTTTACTTGTTCACCGAATATGCAACACTCTGCAAGCGTATTTAATCATCAATGATGCCAACAACAATGTTCAGGTGATTAGGCGACTTGCCTCAGGAATGATTGTATTCATTAAACGCTCACTACAATGATCAATTCCACTGAGAGATCCTGTGAGACAGTCTGGACTTGATGTCATCCTCACTCATTTTTTGAATTAGTCACCAGTCAAGGGTGGGGATTCTCTCGTGGAGGATATAACCTATGTCAAAGATGACACTGCAGATGGTGTTTATGAATGTGAGCTGTAAAGACACGCCGCCTCAACATCGCATGACAACTCGGTGATTGAACTGTGTTTCTGATCTTTTTCTTTTCCTTTTTCTTTTCTTTTTAATAAAAGGTCTTAGCGTCTCGAAAGTGTCAATACAAGTTTTCGATTCATGCAGTCATATAAGGATGAACATCTACCTCTAATGATGTAAGTAATAATGATGGGTTACCACGTCGACCATCTACTAAAGTAATGAATCTATAAATTCCGGCCGGCCTGAAGCAATTGTCTAAGCCTTACGACATTGCTTTGCCGAGCTCATTACCCCGACTCACAGCAGCCTTGATGGCCTTATCGACGATTCCTTGAAACCCAGACTCATCAAAGCTCTTAAGGGCAGCTTCCGTCGTTCCTTTTGGACTAGTTACATTGATACGCAGCTGCGAAGGAGACTCTGATGTCTCGACTAGCATTTTACCAGCACCGAGACACGTTTGCTTGGCAAGTCTCTGGGCTTGATCTTCCGGCATTCCCAGGGAAGTGGCACTTGCAACCATGTGCTCAACTAGGGCAAAGAAGTAGGCTGGCCCCGATCCTATATGTGTGATCACGAGGTCAGCATCAGCAGCAATCTGGAATGATTCACATAATGCGATGATGTTTCATCATTAGCATACCTGATAGGCCCGTAACGACATCGATCAAGGACTCCTTGTCGACCCACTCTGTGACCTTACCGAAGCTCTCTAACAATGTCGTCACTAACTTCTTCTCATCCTCTGAGACGCCAGCTCCGGCGAATGCGCCTGAAGCACCCTCGCCAAGCAGAGCCGGAGTGTTCGGCATCACACGAACAATCTTTGGCACTTGTCCACCGCTTGTTGTGAACCACGCCGCCAGGCTGTCCAGAGTGATCCCCGCAGCAATTGATACAATAAGAGGCAGTTGCTCTTTTGTCGATCCTTCACTCCATGACCCCGCGATCTCCTGGCACACACTTTTGGCAACCTGCGGCTTTACTGCCAGAACCAACACATTGGCGCCATGCACAGCTTCAATATTGGACGCCGTAGTGCGTACCCCTAAACTTTGCTTGACCTTTTCTCGGGTTCCCTCCCATGGATCTGAGACAATAATATTTTCCTGAGACGTGCTGCCCTTGGCGAGGAGGCCACCCACAATGGCAGCACCCATGTTACCACCGCCTATAAAGCAAAGCCTGCAATCTTGGATCTGAGGAATGGCCATGTTTCTTTTCAGCTTCCTTTGGTCAATTAGATTTGAAACACTCAAGTGGCGTGCCGTGCCTGTCGTGGGACAATTTATCGATTGCTTAGGACGATGTGCTTGTGAATCTTTCAGGGTTGTGATAAAGGGCCCGAGCGCCCAACCCAATTTTCACCGGTTATTAGGTCCGACAGCGGAACTTGAGGCTAAGCCCTATTGGGCCTAGATCAATTTCGATTGCCCGTGAGGTTGTGATTCAAGATTGCGTCACATTCCAAACGTATAGGACTTTCTCTGTTGCACATTGTCCTAACCTAGGCTTAAATAATGACTGAAATTGCTCTGTTCATTAGGGAACTATGATGATAATTAGTTCATTTCACAAGGTTAACCATTTCAATGGGATCTTTCCCCGGCGAGATTATTGTGGTTATGAGAACTTCTAACCACCTCTTAAATGACGATATTCTAATCTAAGCCGGGCTTCGCCTAGCATCAACGGTAGAACTTTTGAGTTCTCTACCTTGACAAATTTGGTCCAGCACACGATTTAATGCGCTGTGCTACCCGAATTATCAGCACAGCTGAATGCATGACCTATTTCGCCACTTGCATATGCGGCCAATATTGACTTGATTACCGCGTATGTTCCTCCCACAGCAATAAAGGCGCCAAGAAGGACTAAGACGGCATGAAACCAATACCACGCTTTCTTGACCAGAGATGCTGACTTGCGGTTCTCTCTGTAGTCATATAGATACAGAATGCCCGGCACAGAGATGGCCATTGGCGCGAAGCACACGGTTCCTGTGAGTGCGATCAGGTAGCTAAAGATGACGATGGACTCGCTAAGAACAAATGCGATGGCGCCTAAGGTGGTCGTACACCCCAGCCAGGTAGACCAGTGGATAACCGTATTATGTTGAAGATGGCGAGTACCGCGCAGAATGCGAACGAAGACATACTTAGCAGCAACGTGTAGGTACAAGCATCCAGAGATAGCAAGGCCAATGAGACCAACACCGTATGAGACCTTCTTGATAGTCCCTCCGGCACTGCCAAGAGACGGGTTTGAAACCCAGGCACCGCACCAGCGGTAGACGACAAGAGAGAAACATAGATATGCAGCCGTCACAAAACCCATGCAAAAAGATAGGGCCTTTCTATAGTCCTTTGGTCGTCTCATCTCTGCTATGACAGGCAAGAAAGCGCTCGTGCCAGCACTGGAGACAAAAATAGTCGCAGTTGCCGTCATACCCTCGGCAAAGGTTGCGAGGCCAATAGCATGGTACCCAAGTTCAAAGTCTCCAGTTTGTGGCGCTGATGCTGGACGATCGCGAGTGGTGACACCAACGACAACGATGAAGACTGCCAAGAAAATGGAAACAAAACCCGCCCATGTAAGCCAGCCTATCTTCTCAAATGTGCGGACGGAAGCACATGCGGTGATGATCGCAAAGGATAGGAAAGCCCACCAAACAGTGCATGCAGCATGATCAGAAAGGGCATTGAAAGCAACCGAGAGGCCAACAATGCCCGAACCAGTGCAGAGCACATAGGCAACGATGTAAAGGAAGCCGATCACCTCTTTGAACCAGGAGCCTCCGACTACGTAGCACATGTCTGCCAGAGCTGTGAAGTATCAGCCAACTCTCCCGAGATCGTGAATCGTGAACGGTTTAGGTTAAGCTCACTATGACATTCGGGATGACTGTTCCTGAAGTCGCCTTGAATCATTGCCGTATCTATGTAATTCCGTAAATAGATGGTCAACATGATTGTATAGAACGACGTTGAGTCGACTGACATGTGTTAAGTGCACCAACAACAACGATCAAGATACTTCCTCCAACTGCTCCGAGCGCGTACATGGCTGATGGAATGGACAAGACGCCGGTTGCAAATATGATCTTGAGAAAAATCACAGTCGCCCTCTGCCAGCTCACAGTTCGAAAGTCGACACCACCCTCGAGCTTTTGGAATACTTCATGGCTCTCTACCGCATCCTTTTCAGAGCCAGATATTACCCCTTCTTGTAGACTGCCCTCACGGGCAATATTGGGAACAGGTCCAATCTCATGAGAGGTCTTCTTATCCTCTGTCATTGTGCTGATTGTTGTAAAGGTATTCGAACCGAACTATACAAGCGGATGGAATAGATAAGCGTTTATGGATATCCTGATCTTCGAGCAGCCAAGTCGTTCTTTCTCCTAAAAGGATCGGAAATGGTCCGGATGATATATTTCACGTTTGCTTTAATTAGTCGGACCTCCGAAACTGTTATCTCTCCTGTTCATCTCAAGGCACGGTGGATCAGGTCAATGTGCAATGTTTGCACTATTGCTACCTGGAACCAAAGATAACGGGAATAGTGCCAGGTCTGTAATTTGCAAATGTTTCCTTCAAGTTCCACTTCTGATGTCGGATGACGTATCCATATTCAGCATAGACTAGATCAAGGCTAATAGAAAAGAAGGAAAGATAAGCTTAACAGACGGCACCTTGTCCAATGATGTGCAATGGGTGCTCCGATCGTGTCGGTAGTTTTCTTCCCGAGCAATTGCTGATCCTTGTCGTACCAAAAGCGCCCACAATGACGGATACGTGTGTACAGTGGGGTCAGTTATCGTACGCCACGGGGATCACGTACCTCGCTTGCGGAATGGCTACCAACAGAGCCAAGTTGTTCAGTTGAAGATTCTTGAGCAGCTCATCGATATTGCTGATTCTGAGTGTTCGTCACATAAATGTCATGAGAGGTATCGATAGCTATCGGATATCTTAAATTCGTAAATTTTCGGTTGAATTATTTGACCAAGTAGAAATCTCTCCGCTGACCAAAGCCTGTGACTTGAGATCAAATTGCCAGTCTTGGCGATCTAGTAGCCTAGCATGCACAGTTCCGTCAAACCTTTACAAAATCGTCCAGAATAAATCCTTCCTGTTCTCTCATCATCTTGTACCAGTTCTTGACATATGGAAGCGCCACATGTGGCCCATAAGGTGTTTCCTCCCAGACTGGCTTTGGCGCTGTCTGTCCGGTCTCCATCTCTGCATCAGCTAATACCTCTTTAAGAGTGCCCCCGCGATTGTATGTTAGATCTCCCCATGTCGTCGGCCGTTGGGCCCTCATGTTGGCTCGTAACTTCTCAGTGGCTTCTGTGTCAACGGAGAAGTCATCTCTATCAACTACTACACCGTAATTCTTCCTTGCTCCCTCAAATGTAACGAGCTTTCTATGTACCTCTGCGGCAACAATCTCGGCAGGGCGTGTCAGAGGATCACCAAGACCACCGCCTCCCCAGGTAACCCATTCAAGCACATCACCCGGTTTGACAACAAGATGATCCATCTTGGAGGGCAAAATCTGATAATCGGGCTTGTCCGTCCCATATGAACTGTTGCGCCATATTCCCTTCTTGCTACGCATGCCTGGCTCGCCACCATTGACTCCCCATGGCTTGGTGAGCCACCGATCATCGTGGAGGGATACTTCACCTTGACAGAGGAAGTGGTATAGAGTTCTCTGTGCGTTGCCGCCTCTATAGAAGCCTGCACCACCCGAATCAGGCACGCTCTCGTTGGCTTCAATTCTCAGGGGAAAGTAGAGCTCAATGTTCTCTGTAGGAATGCTCTTGATTGCTGGGAACAAGCAATGACAATCTGGTCCGTCTCCAATAGGTCTTGCAGGTACTCCACCAAAGCCAATTTGATAGAGTAGGAACCAGTCACCTGTGTCTTTGAAGCCAGAATAGAAAAGATGTGGCGAGTCAGAGAAACCGGCTGCAGAGCGGTACGATGGGTTTCTCTGACCCATGAGTGCCTGGATGACGTCCATGATACGGCCAAGCAAGTGTGTTCGACATGATAGGGCAGCAGGACGTACAGGTCGAAGGATGGTTCCTTGTGGTATCCGCAAGTCGATAAGATCGTGAAAGCCATCATTGACAACACAAAACGGATCATAGACCGCAAGTATGAAATATCCAATGAACATTTTAAACATTGGGGTTGAGAGAAAGTAGTTCATACTTGTGTTCGACTGAGGTGCGGTCCCATCCCAATCGAATATTAAACGATTGCCCTCTTTTTGCATAGAGCAAGATATATTCCACGGCCCTAGTCCGTGCCCATTGTCGTCAATGAAGTCGGTGAAACTACTGCGCTCGTTGCCAAATTTGGTCTCGATTATCTCGCCAATGGCTGAGTGGCAGCGCTCTAAGAGGTAGTCGGTCGCGGCGCGGTACACCTCGATGCCATAACGGTCGCATAACTAGACAAACTCACGTCAGCAGCTGGTTGGTTTACGAAGAAGATACTGGCGAGCACATACCTCACAAACTCGTGTAGCAGCTGTTTTGCAAGCGGCAACCAGAGCCGTAAGATCACTTTGGAACCACTCGGGAATTCTACTATTGCGCATAAAGACATCGAGGAGGCTGCTATTAAACTCGCCCTTTGAGTAGAGCTTAACTGACGGGATCTGAAGGCCATCCTCAAATATAGTCGAAGCGCCAATACTCATAGAACCGGGAACCTTGCCCTGGACGTCACTACAAAACATGTGAGTTGCTCAGCAAGAGAATTGCATTCGGGTTGAAACTTACGTCAAATGGCCAAAATTGGCCGCCCAGCCGACAATCTTGCCATGGTACCAGATAGGCAAAAGCACAATCACATCATTCAAATGAGATACAGCACCTTGTGTCTGATAAACATCATTTGTGACAAAGATGTCGCCCTCCTCGATGGTGCCTTTCCAATTTTCAAGGAATTGACCAATGAAACTGCCAAATTGACCAACAAGCATCTGACCGCGGGGGTTAGTTATGACGTTGAATTCATCCTGCTGTTCTCTTATAGCTGGGCTCATAGCACATCTAAGCATGAGGGTGTCCATTTCGCGGCGAATGCTACCCAGTGCACTAGCGATGAGTGTTGGGACAAGTGGGTTCTTCGATACATAGTCACGCGCTGAATCTGCCGTGTCGGTGAGTTCGTCGCTCCATGTGTCAGATTTTTCACTGGGCTGGATGAGAATATTTCCCATGTTGTCAATCTCGCCAACAAAGCCTGGCAAGATTAGTGTATTGGAGTCCATTTCAGTTATGACGCAAGGCCCCTCCACCTGATAGCCGCTCTTGGTGATCAGTGCGCGGTCCCAGACAACAGCTTCAACTTTTTGGCCGTTCACAACGATTGGGCCGCGGGAGATTACTGCAGATTCTGGTGGAGTAGCACCAGGAGCGGCTTCGATAGCTTCGATAGTAACATCGGGAGTGGCATCCGTGGTTTTGACACGCAAGCGCATGATTTCAATATCGATGGCATCAGGAAGTGAGAAGCTAAATTGCTGTTCATGTGCAGCTGCAAATCTCTGGCGTAGTGCTGAGAGCAAGGCAGACGTCTCAGACCCCAAGTCTTCGGCATTCATGTCAACCGTGAGAGTGAGAGCTTGACCTTTGTACCGCATGTCTGCTTGGTAAGCGATGCGGAGGGCAGGAGACTTTTCTCCAAGAGCTTCCATCATAGTCTCAGTACAGCTGACCTTGAGTTGATCGTACATCGTGCGCAAATCTTCTGTTGATATTGTCGAAAAGAGCTTAATGTATGTACAAGACTGTTCATGGGACATCTTAGTAGTAGCATCGCCCTGTGCGCACAGAATTCCAGGTGCTGGTGGAATGATGACAGGAAATGAACCTAGTAGTTTGCCGACTGCATTGGCGTGGAGGGGGCCAGCACCTCCAAAGGCGACGAGGGCGAAATCTCTTGGATCGTAACCTTGCTCGACCGAGACTAATCGGAGTGCTCCATACATAGTCTCATTGACAAGATCAATAATTCCTTCAGCGGCCTGTGTGGCCTCCATGCCCATTTGACGGGCGATGTTGTTGACAGCATTGGCAGCTGCATCAACATCCAGGCTGAACTTTCCTCCCAATAATTTTGTGGGGAGATACCCAAGCACCAAATTAGCATCGGTAACTGTCGCCAGATTGCCACCCTTGCCATAGCAGGCAGGGCCAGGCGTTGCCCCTGCGGATTCAGGACCAACGCGAAGGGCGGCCGTGAATGTGTTGTAATTGGCAATCGAGCCTCCTCCCGCTCCAACCGTTCGAACATCAACTGAAGGTGCTTTAACAGTCAATGAGCCCACGATTGTCTCTCGGCGGAGCACAGCATTGGTTCCAGGGATCAGGGCACAATCAGTCGAAGTCCCTCCCATGTCCAGGGTGATGAGGTTCTTGTACGGTGTGTTCTTAGAAACAACATGGCCAACGCCAATGACTCCTCCGGCTGGACCACTCATCAGGATATTGACTGGTTGTTGCCCTGCCAGACTGACTGATGTCAAATCGCCGTCAGACTTGAGGATGCGTATTGTGTTAGTGTCAGATGCAAGGAGATTCTCCAGGCCTTGCATGTATCGCTTAACGATTGGCTTGACGATTGCGTTTGCAGTCGTAGTAACAGTACGCTCATACTAAACTGCAATGAGTTTCATTCTCTGGATACGTGTTAATTGTTTGTCGACTTACCTCTTGGATTTCTGGAAGAATCTCGGTTGATGTCACAACCTCGACATCAGGGCCGAACTCTTCTTTCAGGACCCGTCTTACTTCCTCCTCATGGATTGGGTTAGCAAATGAGTTGATCAAACTGACGGAAACGGCATCAGGTTTCTGCCTCTTGAGATCTTTCAGACTTTCTCGAAAACTTTCTTGGTCCAGTGGACGCACGACTTCGCCCTGGATAGAAATGCGCTCCGGCGCCTCAACCGTCCGCTCGAGGGGCACTATGGGCGTAGGCTGCTGCCAATTGATCCATGCACCTAGTCCACCAGGTATCTGTGATCTCCTGAAAGCGAGAACATCTTTATGGCCCGCAGTTACTACGAGCCCAGTCTTCGCACCTTTGCCTTCTAGGATGGCATTAGTGGCCGTTGTTGTGCCATGGTGTATGTATTCAAAAAGCCCATCCCATCCGTAGTTGTCTTTGAGTATCTTGCGGACTTCATCAACCCCCTCCTTCACTGCAATGCTCTGATCTGTGACGTTGGTTGGCACCTTTGCACGAACCGTCCTCCCCTCTGGTGTGATGACACATATATCTGTGAAGGTACCCTGTTTTATGTGGTAAGTTGTTGACTCACTTCCTATGCTCAAACGAAATTACTTACCCCAACATCTACCCCAAGGCGATATCCCTTTGTTTCTGCCATGATTTACGTTTATGGTGTACCTGCAGATGGTCAGGGGTAGCTGATGGTCTTATCGGAAACAGGCATGATACCATTCGGTAATTTTATAACTCACATGCTTGATCATCAGTAGGAAGGCATTAGGTGTGTAGTCTCTGCCGGTAGGACAAGATCGGGACGAACCTTCCGATTAGATGATAAGGGTGTACCCTTCTGACGTAGACCCTGAAGTCGGATGCACCGACAGTGTTGTGATTCGCTGTGGCTTCTTCCACAGCCCACCCCTTGATAAGCAATTCGAACCGGCCCCACTTTGCTCCCGGCAATCTGATCTTCCTATGCAAGACTGCGGCAAATCTGTGCACTTGGAGATAAGAGCAAAGCAGCTTGGGGAGAATGGTATCTGGGGAATAATCTCCAAATGGCACTCTTGTCTAAGCAATCCCCCCCTGATCGGAAATCCTTGTCGACTTCTTGAGTGGTTTTTATGCTAGGAGAAAGCTCACGGCTATCAGGGCAGTTATGATCCACAGAGTAAGAGACAAGAAAACTCAAGCATTGATGTCATGACATCTAGGGAAACAGCCAACTTCTCAGCTACCTAATGATTTATTGTAAGGCTCTTCATTATCATTCTTTCAGGTATGTCTATAGAGAGGAGATGTGTACTTCACATGCTGGCGTATCAATCATCAATAAGTATGGAACTACATGAAGAGCATGACGACGAGAAACATGATACGCTTCCTCGTCTCCTTAATTTCCTCATCTTTTTCCCAAAGAACTTTCCCAGGGAAAAGTTCGACTTATCTCTTCTTGGTGATTTGGCCCTTCCTTGGCTTTTTACACTTACAATTTTCACTCCGCTGGGGAATGATGGGGGAGATCGTGCTCCCTGAGTCATCATTCCAGGAGGTTTCACTCCTTGGGTCATCCATCCAGATGGTGGCGCCATTCGATGCATAGGTAGGCCCTGGGCAGGGGCAGGGACATTTCCTGGCCCTGGAGGATTTAGTCGATCGGGTAGTCCTGGGATGTTACCTGGCCGCTTTCGAAGTGGATTTTTATCCATGGGCCACATGTGCATAGTTATAGCCCAGTCAGGTTCCACGACCTTCTCCCAGACAGATGGTAGAATGATTTCCCCATTTGGGCCAATCAAATCGTAATGACCTTCTTGAACATGCGGTCCAATGACCTCAACGTGTAAAAAAGCTTGCTTGATAAGGTCTTCCATGCCCTATCAAAGATGTCAGTTTCTGTTATCTTGTTTTCTGATTTCCTGGTTTTGAGTTTCATACTCACCGTCCACGTCTGACACAAATGGAAAGGAAAACTAAATTTTCGTCCCACTGCGTCCTTGAATTTGATGGGTGGCTTTTCAGCCCTCTTGAGTGCTTGTTCAGCCTGTAGCATAGCTTCCTCGAGCATTTTCTTCTTCAAAGCCTCCTCCTCCTTCCGCTTAGCTTCCAAGGCAGCCTCTGCTGCTAGCGCAGCCTTTCTCTCTGACTCTATCTTGGCTCGGGCCTCGATTTCGGCGTCTAACTTGGCTAGCTCCTCTACTCTCTTTCTCCACTCTTGTGCTGCCGCTTCCGCTTCTATCTCCCATTGCTTGCGAGCTGTGGCAAGACGCTTTTTCACAATGTCCTCGACATCACGGGTATGCACTGGTTGCGATCGGGTTTGTTGGTGTTTCCATCCGTTCTCTCTTCCAAAATCACTCCGTCTCGGCTCAGGGGTTGGAGTGGGCCAGGTCGGGTAACTGACGACGTGTCTCTAGGCTGGGTCGGCTGGTGGCCTGAGCCACGACTCTCTGTGTGATTGCTAGGGGTTTCGCTCAAGGCTTGTGTTTGTGGGGAAGGAGAGTCATTGAGCTGACCCTTCTGCTCTAAAGATCGGACTACGTTCCCGGTCAACACAGTTTCTATTAGAGGTTCATCAGGATAGGCTGGCGGTGCCGTGATCTCCTGGCTCTGCGTGAGTGTGTCCCCTGATGTTGGTGAAGCGTCATAAGACTCTTCAACGGGACCATATTCGTATTCCTCATCATCAGGGACTTGGAAATGTGCGATTGACTCCGGAAGCGGTTGTATACTTTCTCTTCATTAGTCTGACCCTGTATAGGAAAGACAAGTAATGACCAAGGCTCTTACTGATTTGCAGCCGCAAAATGCGTGTTGATGGCCACCAAGCGGCAATGAAGCGAGTCACGGAGGGCGCGTAGTTCTTCCTCTTTGAACAATGCCCAACCAACTTTACTCCAGCTTCCCGAAACACCGGACGATGCCGACTTGGATAACTTGGCTTGGTAATGCTTCGTTCTCTCCAAGAACTTGGCAATGATGTCCATGGACGACATCACAATGTACGAGGCCGAGTTCAAGGTCGCTTGGGCAAGCACGTTGCTGCGGCCGACCTGGCTTACATGAATGAACGCTTGTTGAATGGCGCATAGCTCGGTCATCGCCTCTTGGTACTCTGCACAAGCACCACGAGTCTCCGTCATGACACGGATCAGCTGGTGAGCCAGATTCGCACCAGCGATGAAGTCCCCGATGCCATACCCGAATGACATCGTAGATGCTGCCTGAGGCGACTGTTGATCTCTTTGCTGTTGGTTTACTTATTCATGAACTCTGAGATTGAGACCTATGTCTTATGGAATCGAAAAGAGGCATTTCAATGCGATAATTTCCACAGGTGAGAGAGAGGGGGAGAGAGCCCTGAGGCAGCTTTGCGGGCTCTGTCTAGCTCAGCCACCCCCAATATGCAGCCATTGCAGCTGGGCAAACCATCAGAACACCTGCATGTCAGGCTTTCCGTGTGACAATGTGGCGGTGTACCTGTGCAAAGTCCGGCAATGCTGTTATAGTTATAGTTATAAACATTGAAGACACAAGTTGCGTTTTGAATTGAACTATTGAAGCCTTATTCACAGTCACGATATACTTAATGAAATAGATTGCAATCGTCTCTCTTTACGGCAACCAATTTAACACAGTATGACGCTCACGACCAATAGTTCTCTTTCTGATGCTTATTGGCTTTGCACACAGGAATTACTAATAGAATTTAGGCGTCCACATCAATAAGTCTCGAAGTCCCTGACAGCTGGAAAGATGCCTACTATGACAGCAACACACAAGGTCTCTGGTTGTAGGTTCAAAGACCACCGTGCCAATGAGCCTCAAGACTCCTGGTAGTAATAAAATCATCACTACAGCTTTAAGAGCCTCAACCAACCCAGCATTGAACCAGTAAAATTAATATATTGAAAAAGTAGCAGTGCAAGTACGAACAAGGAGTCACCCTAGTTCTCTTCTGCATTTTCTGATTTGCTCATCGCATCTCTGGCTATCTCCATCTGTTCCTTCGTCGGTTCGTTGCATATTACAAGATACAAAACATTCTCATTGATGAGCCGCCGTGCAAAAGCGGCTGGTGTTATGAAACCCCGCTCGTAGCTTGCACGCAGCTTCTCCGTCTCTGTGAGCTCGCGGCCCGCTTTCTTCTCTGCCAGCGCAACCCTCTGCTCGCGCATTCTTTTCCACAAGTCGACACGGCCACCTGTGATCATGTTAATGGGCCCATGGTGGTACATTTGGTGAGTTGGGTCCGCGAATGTGGACGCAAAGGGTTTCTCGGGCAACTGGGCCAAGGGATTGTCTGGATTTCGTATCGCGAATTTAGCCTGACGCCGGCGGTCGAGATAGTCACCTATATAGGCTCGGTATGACGTGAACTTGGGCTGCTGGTCTAACTGCATATTGTAGCTGGCAGCCTCTGCTTCTACTGCTGGATAGATTAACGGAGCTGCTTCCGGGATTGACGCCGTGCCACGAGATGTCCCCGCCTCCGTGGCCTTAAACCGAAGTCCTCTTTTCTGGCCGCTCGCCTCGCCCTGCGCATTTCTTGCCGCGGCCGTCTTGTCCATGTCAACCTGCACGACTGGCTCGGCCTTGGAGCCGGGCTTGTTGGTCAGGACCAAGACGTATAGACCGCGGGGTTTGAATAGACGTTCGTTAGCGTCGTCAAGGAAGGAGTTCGTCTTCCAGCGACGCTGCATCTCGCGCGCGGTGCCGGCGGCAAACGACACAGCGAAGCTGATGGGCGTTCCTATTACCTGCGGGGTGGTGAGACCGACGACAAAGGCCGCGAGGTTGATGGCGTCGTAGACGCGCGAGGTCTCGGAAGCGGCGTTGAAGGCCTCGAGGAAGGCCATGAAGGGCTCTTCGGGCAGGGACTTATACTCGCCGAGGATGGGGGCGTAAGCACGGACGAAGCTAATTGCTGAAAGTCAGTGTCCCATATAAACGGATCTAGAGAAGGGAACTTACCCTCGTGATCTGGCTTGTGGTCGACGTTGTGGAAGTACCACTGGCACCGGGAGGGGAGTGTCTCGACATTCAGGAACTATGATAGACTCGGGTTCTTGATTGTCGGATTGGGAGAGGGGTTGTTCTAATGCAAGATCTGACTCTTCATCCTCCTCCTCGCTGTCGTCCAATTCCCAGTCATCAGCCTCGGAGTCGACAAGGCTTTCAGCCCGGGATCGATTATTCTCGCTGCACTCGTCCTCGAGTATTGATGTGTCTTTCCGTGGATTTGTACTGTTTCAGGCTGTTCATTCATGTCAAAGTGGGCTGCCTTGAGTTCGCGCTTCTCCTTCATATACTGCTTAGTTTCGGATGCTGCTCCAATTGTGGAGTTGACGGCGTGGCCGACACCACGAAGGGTCATCATCTTGTCACAATCTTGATGAGATCTTTCTTTGTTGTTTAAATGAACAATAGTTTCTGCAATTGAGTACATATTAGAAGTGAATGATATATGCGTTTGTCAGCTTCTGCAGATGAGTGTTATCTTTTATACGTGACCGATATGAGCGAGCACCCGATCGACCGATGCCCACATATCGTGGCGCCTATGAGGAGTGGATCGGCGTTGGACCTTCGCAGATATACGAGTAAAGATTTTCTATGTCTCGATAATTATAGCACAGTATTGTTATAGGACTAGCACTCAATTGGGCTTCTTCTGCTAAATGTTGACGTTCTGAGCAACGGCCACCCCTGCCAAAGAATGCCACGTACTTATACGGGTTTTTTATGAATCATGCAGGATTCTAGGCTGTTAGGAGAACATTGTACCGCGGGATGAATTTTGGCTTCGTTCCATTTGGCGGGAATTGTCTCTCAATTTGGTATAGGTTGGTCTCATTCTTGTGCTCAAGTCCTGTAGATGACAGACAGTCAACGGCGACATTGACAACATCTTCTACTAGTAAATTTAGGACTGACTTCCGTTTGGATGGCGAGATACCATAGAGTGGTTGAGAAAGTTGATTAGTTGCCTAGATACTTTCTAAGCGCCTAAAGAAATGCTATAAAAGAGGCCAAAAGAACCACTGGCATTCTTCAAGTCCGCGCCGTAGCTTACTCCCTAACTTCATTGTAACTCTGCTTCAAAAGAGATCCCTGTCTTTTCCCAATGATGTTGTTTACTAAACTCGTTGCCCTTTCCTTTGGCGTGCTTCCCACTCTCGCGAAGTGTGTCTCTGCTTCCACCACTTCGTCATCTGCCATCAGTACGCCAATACCAACCTACCTCTTTACTGCACATCTGCAGCTTGGAGAACCGCTCAAGGCCATTCCTCTCCTAGAAGGCGGTACCATCACAGTTGAACCAATTGCAAACGGTACCATTTCCGGACCTTATTTAAACGGCACGATCTTGTCTGGATTTGCAGCCGCAATTGTCGTCTCGAACAACTCATTCACCGGTGCTGGTAAATCTATTCAAATTGCCACGATCAATGTATATGGCAAGACAACCGATGGACTGTCCCTCTATCTTCGCGAAGAGGGATTGGGGATTCAAGCTGGTCAATCTACGAGACTCATTGTTGCTGTTGGAGGGAAATACAGGAGTCTACAGACTATGTTCATTCTAGGGCAGCCTACTCCAAATGCTGCTAGGACTACCGTTACTGTGCCATGCTATAGCGTGCCATTACCCGCGGGGTTATAAGTACTGGGTGTTGATAAAATGTATTGAAGAAAACAGCATGTTTGTGAAGCTCGGTAAATTGGAATACAAGTGATACTCGATTTAGAACTGGTGTTTCCTTAGCTCATACCCTATCAATCAATAGATTCAGGCGCCCCCTCAGGAAGTATCCAAAACGATGATTCATAGATCATCACCCGGTGTCCAGAATTGGGAACACCGGCGTAAGTTGATTTATGACAATCTGTAATCACGACGTAAAACCAATCAATGTCAAGCTGACTGGTTGGATTCATTCGGCCCCTGAAGTCGCCCCCAACCCGCGCTGAATGCTCCCAAATACGGTCTAGCGGCGTCCAGTACCCCACAATCACCCATGGCGGAACATTGGAAGGATCCCTCGTGTTTTCCAACTGCACTCGCTAGCTTTAGGTGATGTCATTACGTGCATTCCTTGGGCGCCTCTCGAACTTCGACAAGCACGATGCGAATCTTTTAGAAGAGACCATCGCTTCTAAGAGGCTGGTTCCGAAACGGACCTAATTTGGGAGTGTAGCACTACCGAGTGCATATGTTGGTGATTACGCTAGGTGTAACGCCTTCCACCTTTGTTGCAGAGGCCGGATCAGATAAAGGGGCAATAAGGGTCCTTGGCAGTCCCAGTTGCTTAATGCCTCTTGGACTGCAGCACAGGCTTTGTCGTGGCAATCATGGTCGGAGTTCCGGGACGATCCCAAAGCTGCATTACATGTCTTAGTAGGAGGAAAGGCTGTGACAAACTACGACCAAGATGTACCCAGTGTGCCAAAGCTGGCCTGACATGTGGTGGATACACTCGATCGAGGGTCTTTGTTAACCGATTCCAAGTAGGTGATATGTCCTCTAATGTATATACCGCAAGAGTCGATTCCGTTTCCAGGCAAAAGGGCCGGGCGCCAACGGCCGAGGATATCACTCTTCCATTCGAATTGACGCAAACCGCCTATAATTCTCGATACATAGACCTCTTTTGGTCTGCATACTTACCTGGTGGCCAACTCTTCAATGACAAGGCTGCAAGTCTATCTCATGGGGGATGGGTCACAGTGGCACAAGACATGTATACCTCTGACAGAAGCTTGCAGCTCGCTATGCAAGGTGTCGCTCTGTGTGGTGTTGGGACTCTCCACGGTGACAGGTCTTTGATGAAGCAAGGTTCTACGGTGTACACGCAGTGTTTGCGGGAGTTTAACAAGGCTCTCTGCGATCCTGAGCGTTTGCGTCTTGATGGAGTACTGTGTACGGCACGGCTCTTGTCACTCTTTGAGGTATGTCTCAAGCAAAATGCTTATGATATACGCACTTGCCTTATAGTTTGTTTTAGATGCATTTTGGTGATTATGGAGAGGATGATGCGAGTCATGGAGCTCAATCAAAAAGCTGGCTTGCTCATACACAGGGTCAGCTGGCAATCCTCAATGCTAGGCAACCACGTGAGTTCCGAAGCGGTAAAGCTCATCTGCTATTTGCTGATTACCGTTATATCTTGGTGAGACAGCCTGCTATGAATGGCGGATTGACATTGGAACTGATTGGACCTCCAGGTTATCTCTGCAATTGGCAACCGAAAGCAGCTTCCCCTTAACAGCAAAGGTTGGAGGAGCGTTCCGTGGAAGTCTCATCCTAAATCACCACAAGACAAGCTTTTGGACGTTCTGGGCGACCTAGCTGGTGTACTAGAAGACGTAGACAGAATGAGGCACTGCGAGGACAATAGAAAGAGGTCACGAGCCAGAGACCACATTGCACGCTCCTGTTGGGACCTTGATCAACAGCTTCAAATTTGGTTGGCTGAAGTTGGAACGTTGAAAGTTTTTCAGAGTCCCGGAAGCCACGGCGATGTTCGCGGCCCAAACGGCTCGGAAGACTTTGCACTTGCGCATCTAACTATTCTGTACTGGGCGACCTGCGTCTTGCTTTACGCTAACTTTCAGCTTTTGTTGACAGAAAGGAAGATTTACCTGAACGAGCAGAACCTACGCAATATTCCTGTGAGCTTGTAGCTGCTTTGCCATTCTTCTTCACGCAAGGCGCCGGCATCATGGGTCAGAAGATGGCCGCATTTCCGTTGGGTATAGTACTGCAGGTCCTTTTTGCGACAGAAAACGCTCCATCGGAGCACCGAAAAGCTCTAGGAAGATTTCTAGGAAAGCAAGACGGAATTGGAGGCATAGGCAAATTCTTGAAGAACCTTCAGCGAGGAGCTCCTGGACCTGGGCAGCGCGTATCCAGCGGAGAACATGGGCTTCAAATGAGGGCTAGAAGTTGGATGAATTTGGCCGGCTCAAGAAGTAGTGAGATAACAGTATAAGCAAACCAAGTGTCCTGCAGCTATGATGTAATAGAAGCCCATAACTCGCGGTCTCTGACCGCTCTTTAGGTTATGTGAATGCTCACCTGAAGTCATGCTCCTCCATTCTTCTAGAGGTAGTGCTGAGTTGCAGTCTAGTGAATATGACACAAAGAACGCTGAGATACCGGCCATGACCCAGTCCCCAAGCTGCAGAATGGCATGCAGCTGATAAACCTTGACATTCACCATCAAGAGCCCCAGGATCAGGATCGTCGTGAATAAGCTCACGACATCAAATTAATCAGAGGCCAGGGTGACATTCCTGATGCCTAACCACCGCCTATCAACACAATAAGCGGCTCTCATCCAAATTTGCGCTCACAGAGACGCCTTTCTCGGTTATCACAGGTGAAGGCAATTTTCTTGTGAAAGTCCATGCCATATCACCTACAAGCGGGTGGACTGTGTGGGTACATGGTTATCATGAAGCTATAAGGGAAGACAAATTAACATTCTCGTATTTCGAGCTCTCTAAGGTGGTCATCGTCAGCCTTACATATAGTGAATTGCGTGTTGTTAACAAGGCTTGTATTTGGATGAGTGTGTTTATTTTTCTTTTCCTTCTAGGGAGTATAATCTATTAAAGCTAGCTTTGCTCTTAGACTGAAAAGCTTTCACCTTGATAAGATGGTAGCCCCGTCAATTGGTGACGAAGTTGCTAACTAAATCAAAATCCTATGTGACAATCGGATAGGGTTATCCCGGCACCGATAGCACTATATATAGCACTCCGTAGGCGATCTACGGCGCTCGCATCTTAAGGACCTACATAACATACACACTTACATACTACCTTCGAAGGGAGCTCCGCGCTACGTAGCCTTGAGATCCGTCACATCCTATTAGTAGCCTATTAGCGGCCAAATGATCATCCATGGATCTGGTTTAGCCTCGATACTGCTTTGAACGTAACCGCTGGCATTTTCCCACCTGTGAAGAGAGTCCCAGTTAGAGGAAGGACACTAGTGTGAACATGTCGCACAAGCGACGTTGCCAATTACATTTGAGACCTGTGCCACCCGCCGCTTTAATCTGAGTCTAGCAGGAACGAACCTGGCAAGCCTATAGAGGGATATGGGACATCGACACCGTACATACTAAGGTAACGAACCAGATCCACAGAACGGGGCCCTTCGGAAAGAATTACGCACCGCGAACCTACCAAACTGTTCCAGGATAAATGATACAACCCATCTACAGTCCCTATGGGACTTGTGGATGACACCCGCTTAATGTACGTGGTCAATGCGCTACCTTGTTGACGTACTCCATGCGCATCCAAACAGGATCAAGTGGGAACCCAAATCCCGGACTTAGACATTTATCTCCCTGTACAAGATTGATGGAGATGTCTCCGCAGCTGGCACCTCTTTGCGCAAGACTCGGGTACAAATAGGGATCTCAATACCCTAGAGACACTTTTAACCCTATCGAAGCAAGAACGAATTAACATACTTGTAGAGACCATAATTATGACCATGCCAACAATCCCCCTCCATTCAGCTGTACAAAAGAGCTTGGACGACACTAAAGTCAACTATGTCCGGCTGGGGACCTCCGGACTACGGGTCTCCGTTCCCATGCTCGGGTGCATGAGCTTCGGCTCTAAGGAATGGTCGCCTAATCCAAACGCACAGTGGGTGATTGAAGAAGAGGACTCTTTGAAGGTGCTCAAGGCTGCCTACGATATGGGCATCGCCACCTGGGTCACAGCTAATATATACTCAAACGGCATGAGTGAGGAGATTATTGGCAAGGCCATTAAGAAGTTCCAAATTCCCCGGCAAAAGCTGATCATCATGACAAAATGCCATAACTATGTAGGTGAGAAACCGGATATCTTCTCCGCCTATATGGTCGGCGGGATGGTCCGGAGTAAAGACTACGTTAACCGTGGTGGTGAGTAACTTCCTGGTCTGACCTTTGAAGATGATGCAAGCACTGACCTCCTCAATAAGGCCTATCACGCGCAGCTATTTTCAACTCTGTAGAGGATTCTCTGACTCGCCTAAATACACCATATATTGACGTTCTGCAAATTCACCGCTTCGACCCGGATACACCAATCGAGGAGACGATGAAAGCGCTGCATGATCTCGTACAATCTGAGAAAGTTCGCTATATTGGTTCCAGCTCAATGCTGGCGACCCGTTTTGCTCGCATGCAGTTTGTGGCTGAGAAAAATGGCTGGACGAAGTTTATTTGCATGGAAAACCACTACAACCTCTGTTATCGTGAGGAAGAGCGGGAAAGTACGTAGCGTCAGTTGGTGATTTGCCATGTCCAATGCTGATCTTTGAAATTTGTAGTGATCAACTTTTGCAATGAGACCGGCGTCGGTGTTATGCCGTGGGGAGCACTTTGGGGGGGTAAGTTGTCTCATCCCATCGGCTTCAAAGACTCGGCGAGGTCAAAAGTCGGCTCCAAGCGCGGCAGTGTAACAGAGGCGGATGAGCAGATCATCAATAGGGTAGAGGAAATTTCCAACAGAAAGGGTTGGACCATGGGACAAGTGGCATTATCATGGATAATAAGCAAAGGCACAATTCCAGTAATAGGCCTTAATTCTATCGCACGTGTCGCAGAGGCCGGTGAGTTGCGTGGAAAGGTATTAACGGAAGAAGAGACCAGATATCTCGAGGAGCCATACATCGCGAAGCCCCTTGCGCCGGGCACTACTTAGACCAAGAACTTGTCATAAAAGGGGAGACGCCACTTGGTTTGATGCTGATCATCCGCATGTCTAAGGCCTGCTTTGCTATTTATCATTGCTGTCTTGCTTTGATAGCACTACGACAGACAAGGAAGAACGTTTTTTACAGTGTTATTTCGCAAGACTAAGACTACTAAGCGACGATATGAATGCACTTGAGCATTGATTGGACCAAGGCGGCCTGCTCATTGACTATGACTCGAATGTTGGACAGATATTGCCTTAATATACAATTGCGACAACTCTATTTAAGGCAATTTTTAGTCTCCCTTAAAAGGTCATACCTCTACTTGCTATAGATAGATTTAAGTTGATAGAGGAAATCGATATAGCAATGTAGGGCTTTCTAGCGTGCCTACTAGGGTCACTTTATTTAGATATATCTTGAGAATATAACCACCATGTATCTGTCCTAGTTATAATGTAATACTTCTTAGGACTGAAATCGTTCACACACCATACGCGTCATATTACTATTCTTGCCTTTCTACTTTACATTTTAATCCGTGTCTTCCCCACTGCATGCTAGTATCGAGGAGTTGCTAATCCAGCAAGATCTCTCGTGTTTATGGCTTTCGCTCCTCTAGAGTGCCAGCAGCAGCCTTATCGGCATCCCAAGTATGCTCCACAACCTTGCCTGTTCCTGTACCCTCCACCTCAGTAATCTGAGCGCCGAGACCGGTGCACACGTATTTGCCAAACTGCCTCGTCTTCACCTTCTCCTGGAACATCTCGTCGAGTTCCTCTAGTGATCGGCTTTTAGTCTCGGGGACCACGAAGAAGACCCATACAATAGCGACAACAGAGAACGATCCATAGATGAAGGTGACGTTGCCGCCAATAGCCCTCTGTACGTAAGGGTTGACAAAGTTGATGGGAACCGATGTTAGGAAGCTCGCCATAGAGGCAAGGAAAAGCGTGCGCTCACGTAGCTGACCTGTTCCTACCTCGCCAGTGATAACCCAGATTCCAGGTCCCCATGTGAAGCCATAAATACAGTACCAAAGAATAAGCAATGCAGCAGAGGCATTACCTACAGCATCCGAGTAGTTGCCTGCTGTACCAGTAGCTGTAGCTACACCAGTACCCAGCATACACCCAGCCATACCGATAGCGCCCCAGCTCAAGGAAAGACGGCGGCCAATCTTGTCAAAAGTGAGAAAAGTAATAATATGCACAGCAAAAGAGCAGCCTGTGACCATCATATTCGTACGTAACGGGTCTGGAAACCCAAGCTGCTGCATAAATGTGACAATGAAGTTCTGGATAAAGGATACACCTTGTGCCTGTTGCAGAAGTTGCACTGACATAGCAATGATAGTGCGCCGGCGATTGGTTCCACGGAAGCAATCCATCATCGAGCTGGCTTTGTGCAGTTCGCGCTGCTCCTCGACCTGTGCCTTTAGCAACAGCAGCTCATGCGGCACTGTATTAGGATGGTTGGATAGGGAGCGCATCACGGCGTCAGCCTCGGTGTAGTGCCCCTTATAGATCAAAAATCGGGGAGACTCGGGAAGGAAGATATACATTGATAGATATCCGACTGGAACCATCAATTGGCATAGAATAACGATACTGGAGCACCTTGTATCAGCTACCGCTCTCTCGGTATCGTTAAACAAACCCAGAAGTCTAATGACAATAGGAATACTACATACATATATTGCCATTGATCCGTTCGCGATCGTGATGCGTAAACGACGATACATGCCAGGAAGACTCCAAGTGAGTTGAAAAAACTGTATAGAGCAAGGAAGGCACCTATTAGCCTTTCATTAATATGTTCTTCCAGTCATAAGAGGTCTTATTGTAAGCACCCACCTCGGATACGTGGCGGCGAGCATTCAGAGAGGTACATAGGCACACAATTTGTAGCCAGACCCATACCAGAATAGACCATGATTCTGCCAACAACTAGCTGCCAATACGATGTAATAGCCGAGGCCTCGAGAGTAATTCCAACAAGCATAAGGCAGGAAAGCACTAGGAATGCCTTCTTACGACCCAGTCTTGAGGTAACCCATGGAGCAATGACACAGCCAAGAATAATTCCAGCTGATCCGGTACCTGTACCAACAGAGGTCTTGTCGGAGGGGATGGCATACCGGCCCAGAGACTCGTCATACGAGCCGTACTTCTTTTGGAACTCAGAAAGACCTAGGGCACCACCCCACCAGCCATTGTCGAAGCCGAAGCCCATGGCTCCCAGGCTAGAGACAACGCCGATAAGGACTAGTCTCCAGTTGAGATCCTGGACGAGGGGGTCATTTTTTATTTTATCTAGCATGATGGACGACACGTAATTGAGATAAATAAATCAGTGACTGTTTGTGTAGGCATGTGCCTGAGTTGATGCGACAAAGATCCAAGGGTTGGAAGGCAACATCTTATACTGCTGGGGAATCCTACCCTTTTGTATACAGTAACACTTTATTCCGTGGGTTTGTGCGGGGACCCCATGCTTTTAATCGGAAGCGTGCCTGTTTCCCCTAGATTTGAGTCCGGGGGGAATTAGTACTCTGAGGAGGCTGTTCGGTAGATGGCCAATCTAACTTAAATCGGAAATCTTAAACGCCTGCCTTGAATCGCAACACTTATTCCATTAAAGGGTTTGAGAAACACGCCCATGTGCTCCTCATAGTGGCTAATTCTAGTGTTGTGGAGGTGGGACAATGGTGATCGTTCGCTTAACCCAGCCAAGTCGCGCTAACTAGAGAGGATGAAGTGATCAGGTCATCTAGTTGCCGGCGCCTACTATTTCCATTACCGGTAGGCAATCTCTCCAATCTTAATGTCTGTGACAACTCACTCTCTAGGTAGACAAGGCACTGCCCCCATAGTATTGCGTCATAATCTCTCAAACTGCTATGCGATTATACAGCAAACAACGTCAATAAGTAAGCGTAACACACGGTGCTTTGTATAGAGAACCTCAACAACACAATTCTCGTTGCTTATAAGCTCGGTTTGTCTAAAGAAAGTCCCCCTAAAGCTCAGTCTTATCAATCTGAACACCACGCCGTGCTAGGAACAACGCTAACGGCCTTAGCCACATAATACATACTCAATCCCCGCCCCTGTTGCCGCAACCGCTACTAGACTTCGAATGTGGGGTGTGGTGGGAAACAATGCTTCCTTGGATGCAGAGACCCGAAACGGAAATCTGTACCGACTCAAGATAATCAATATATCCAATCACAAAAATAGCATTGACTCCCGTGAGGATGAGTCTAGCCTCTTCACCTACTCATTAAGACATTTCCTGCGAGGCAGTCTGTTTCAAAATTAGCTAAAGAGATTAAAGACTCACTCCCCGAACAGCATCATGACACGGATGCTCACCTTCGGCCAGCTGGGCCTGCTCGCATCCAGCTACATCACCTCCGTGCTGGGAGCTCAGAACAAACAATGCTCTCTGGACATGGTTTCCAAGCCGCGACTATTCGTCCTGACAGACATCGCAAACGAGCCAGATGACGCGCAGTCCCTCGTCCGTTTGATGGTCTATGCCAACGAGTTTGACATCCAGGGCATCGTCGCCACCACCAGCGTCTGGCTCAACGACACAACACGCCCAGATCAGATTCACGACATCGTGAGTGCATATGGCGAGGTACTGCCGAACTTACGGAAACACGCCGATGGCTGGCCCGACGTAGACTACCTACAAAGCGTTATTGCCTCCGGCCTACCCGTTTATGGCATGGACGGGGTTGGTGGGGGCAAAGATAGCACAGGCTCAAATCTCCTTATTAAGGCTGTCGATGCTTCATCTGAGCCGCTCTGGATACCTGTATGGGGTGGAGCTTCAGTCCTCGCTCAGGCGCTCTGGCATGTTAACAACACACGCTCTGCTGCTGAAGCCGAGGCATTTGCCTCTAAAGTGCGTGTATATGCTATTTCAGACCAAGACAATACGGGTGTCTGGATTAGGAGACACTGGCCGCGCATCTTTTATATCGCGAGCGTCCACCACTTCAACCGCTACGCTGTTGCGGCCTGGGGCGGTATCTCGGGTGATGACTATTACTACTTTCCCAGTGCTATCGACCGTGTCACTGTCTCACGCGACTGGCTCCAGAGTAACATCCAGAAAGTAAGCGCTCTCGGTGTCAAGTATCCAGATGCAGACTTTATCGTTGAGGGTGACACGCCGTCGCTACTCTACGTAATCCCCAACGGACTGTCTGACCCAGAGCATCCTGAGTGGGGATCATGGGGCGGCCGATATGGACCTGTCAACTATGGCGAAGGCCACTTCGCTGATAGTGTCGATATCATTACTGACGATGAGGACAATTCAGTATTTATGGGCTCGCATGTCACTGTGTGGCGCTGGCGGAACGCCTTCCAACATGACTTTGCCGCGCGAATGCAGTGGACAGCTCAGTCAAAATACGGTAAAGCTAAGCACGCTCCCGTGGCCGTCTTGGACGGCGACAGGACCCGTAATGTCATAAAGATCACGGCCGAGCCAGGCCAGACAATCACCCTCGATGCCAGGGACTCATGCAGTCCAGATGCCAGCAGTGGCAAGCTAGCTTTCAAGTGGTGGCAGTACCGCGAGCCATCATCCAATAACAACAACCCAAAGAGAGATGTACCAAAGCTAGAGCTAGACAACACGACCAGCTCGCGGGTCACAGTCACCATGCCAGCAGTAGAGCAAGTGTGGAAGCAAGGCCGTAACACACACCCGGAGGCGGACAAGCACCTGCATCTAATTCTGGAAGTGTCCAAAGACTCTCTTGTTTCATATCGGAGGATTTTGTTTACGATACTAGGCACAGATACACTGAATGCTACGCAGGGGAAGGGTGTGAACCATGATGAGCTCTAAATTACTGGCAATCTGCAAGACCTATAGAATCAAGTTAAATACCTATCGTAAAGGTCTTCCCTAAAAGCTGACTGAGGTACCTGGAGCCCTTGTTCTCTGCGGAGTGAACAAACTTGTTTTATAATGTACAACTGTCAACGATATACAGTGAAATGAGGTAGGAATTAGCGAAAAAACTGACCCGATACTAATTAGGCCATGCGCACGCTTAGAGCAAGAAGGTGTCATGATAAAGGAGACACCCACTTTTGATGCTGGCGGTCTGCATGTCCGAGGCTGGCCCTGCTATAACCGAAGCTATCTAATCTCTGTAGTGACCTATTGAAACCTAGAGAGAAACCTTTTCGAATTTCGAACTGGTAAATTATAACACTAGGATTGTCAAGAGATGTAGGATCGTCGAGGACTTAATAGAATTCGAAGAAATTACCTAGTCTCACAGCATATCTTAAGTCCCCGAAACTTGAAAATAAAGCCTACCAATTACAGACATGTCATCACTTACGTTGACCAAACGAAAGGAGAGCTTATGAAGTTCACGAAACTAGGAAATGGTGGCAGATTAGAATGATGACTGGCGCGGTGACCGCATTTATATAGACTGTCTTGTCACTCCATACCAGTGGACTTAGGCACGTGATGGCTATGCCGAAGATAGTCGATGCGCTAATTGGTGAATGGTGAATTAGTCATCCGGGCCACTTCTTTACATCATCTTCACCAATATTTCCATGTAGCGGTGACTGGGCTTGAAAAATAACGTCACGCAACAAGCTATATACTGTGGAAGCTGTTCATCCTTAAGACAGTTATACGCTCTGCAATTAGGTACCGATTAGGGAACACCCTAAGCCATATAAGTCGAGGTACCATGAGTTCCGCACCACGCATCATCACGAGGAATCGTGAACGGCTTACCTGCATAGAATGCCGTCGGCGAAAACTTAGGTGTGATCGCAACACTCCTTGTAGTAGCTGCATACGAAGGGGAATTGTGGCATTGTGCTCTTATGAACAAGCTGCGACGGGGTTGGAGCTTGAACGACAGCGTCGCCTTGACGCTGAGGCCCGTCTTAGCCATCTTGAGCTGCTTGTTCAGCAATTAGCTACGCACCCTATCAACGCCGAGACTGGTCCGACGCGGCCGGTATCAATATCTTCCAAACAAAATGAAGACGATTCTGGTGTGGCTGGAGAAATTCATCTTTCTGTCTCAGGCGGCGCTGGACCATCCCATGGGCTGATATATAATGGTTCAACTCACTGGTCGGCTATGCTTGACGAGATTCAAGCAATTAGGTCTACGATTTTTGTCGACACATCTGTTGCAGAGTATGAAGTGAACGAACCACAAGATGCACCAGGGATGCGGATTATATTTGGTGCGACAACGGCCGTTTCTCCAACTCTCAGCGATGTCCTGGCACAATATCTCCCTTCGAGAGAGGAGACAGACCGTCTCACCTCCGCATTCTTTCGTGCCAAGGCAGTGGCTTCCCCATTCATACATCGATCTCAATTTCGAAGATTATACCATGTGTTCTGGAATGACCCGGGGGCTGCGCCGCCTTTGTGGTGTTCCATGCTATTCTCGATCCTGTTCATATCAACAAATGCACTGACACGCAGCAACGAAAGAGAGACCATCAAGCCTAGATTTTCAATCGCGGCTGCTCATTGTCTCGCTATTGGCGAGTATTTTCGGCCAAAGCGATTCGCAGTTGAGTCACTGCTGCTCTACGCTCAGTCGCAATGTTTGACCACCGTCGAGCTGACTCCGGATATTGGTACAGTCCTCGGCCTGTTAGTACGTCTCGCTACAACGATGGGCTACCATAGGGATCCCGAAATGTTCAAGTTATCACCCTTCGAGAGGGAGATGCGCAGGAGAACATGGTCCTTATGCATGCAACTCGATCTGCTGATATCCTTTCACCTCGGGCTGCCCAGTGGTGTCCAATACCCGACCTGGGACACACTGGCTCCCCGAAATTTGCTGGATTCGGATTTTAAGGAGGACACGATGCAACTACCACCAGAAAGGCCTGAATCGGAGATGACTGACATCTTCTTCTACATTGCAAAACATCGTTTGATGACTGTATTCGAGAAAATTCTCCGTCATGTGCTTACGATGGGGTTTCGGGAGATCGATGGTCCTGACGCCGAAGCCAAAGTCGAATCGCTAGACCGCGAGCTAAGAAGCGTCTACTCTTCATTCCCCGAGATCCTCTCTCCTCGGCCCATGTCCGCATCTTTTGTAGACTCCCCTGCTCTTATTGTCACCAGGCTGTGCGTCTCGTTTCTCTACCAAAACTGCTTATGTGTTTTGCACCGTCCATATGTGGCCCGGCACCGCTTGCAGAGCATTCTTGTCTGCTACACAGAAGCGTCGAATCTTCTACGAGACTTTCTTGATGCTTACCAGGAGACTCTGCCCGGCGGCCAGATGGAGACAGAGCACTGGTTCATGAGCAGTCTCACATGGCATCAATTCTTGTCCAGCGCAGCAGCACTCTGCGCAGTGCTGTGTGCCGCTAGCCAGGGCTCTGGCTCTGCAGAGATCGATGTCTCTGCCACTCTAGCATTGCTAGGACGAGCTCGAGCTGTTCGCACGAAACAGGCTGTGCAGAGTAACAAAGATACTATTAAGATAATGTCACTTATCGAGACAACGATCCGGCGCTTTGGCACATCACCCCATGAAGGCAACTCGAATACGATGATTGACAATGGGCCCGCATCCGATACAGTTCAAGACAATTTCTTCTATATGCAAGATGAGTGGGCATGGAATGAATTCACAACGGAGCTAGTAAGCGACAGTACCTGGACATATTTCGAACAATTCCTAGATCTTCCTGGCGATAATTCCATGGCAGATAGCTAAGAAGGCAGAAAAACAAAAGAGGGGCCGTCTTGGCCGCATGTGGATGCGGCTTGTTAGCGCAATATTTGTCGGCCGAGAGGTTGAAAGGCGTGTGTGGTCTGCGCCTTGTGGTGAAACCATGGAGATTGACGGCCGAGAAACTGCGCGTCCTAAGTAATTACGTGCCTACTTACTCGCTCCGCGATGCCATAGTCCCGGACTTAAAGTCATTTGGCATGCTCACAAGTGCCAGAGCTTGAAGGATAAATTGTAAGCCAAACCCTCTTCGCCCCACGCTCTCATAGGGCTCTATTCAAACAATACAACAAAACAGAGATATCAACCATCCAGAAGTGCGAAATTCAAAGCAAAGTCATGGAAGGAGCACAAATCGTCTTTGTGACTGGTGCTAATACCGGGCTTGGCCTAGAAATCGTCAAAGCTCTTTGTTCTTCCAAGATAACCTACGAAATAATACTTGGTGGGCGATCCATTGCCAGAGCCGAACAAGCAGCGAAGGACGTCTTGGCGCAAATACCATCCACACAGAGCCGCATTCATCCGATTCAGATCGATCTCGAACAAGACAACTCTATTGAGGCCGCCTTTGAGGAGGTGGAGAAGACCTTTGGCAAACTTGATGCCCTGGTCAATAACGCAGGTGAGAATCAACCCGACCTAATCGAGAATTCGGTAAGGCGCCCTCGGTTTCATGGCTAACTTGTAATAATCCATCTTGCTATCTAGGTGCTCAATTTGATCAAGAGCTTCCAGCCGGAACTATGACTATGCGACAGGTTTGGAACCAAACCTGGAACGTCAATACAACCGGTACACAGGTCGTAACCGCGACTTTCATACCCCTACTACTCAAGTCTGAGAACCCTCGCCTGCTCTTCATCACGAGCGGTACGTCAACGCTCGCGGGTACAGCAGACACCAATCATTCAATCAACCGGGTTCCACCGAAAGGTTGGCCCAAGACCGGTGCTTACCAGAGCAGCATTCCCGCATACCGCAGCAGCAAGACCGGCATGAATATGATGATGAGGTACGTCAAAATGCCGCCGGGGATTCCGAACGGCAAGCTAGTGTGAATTGAATACTGATAGCGATGGCATCACGCAGGGAATGGGCTAGAAATCTGAAAGAGGACGGAGTCAAAGTGTGCTGTATCTCTCCTGGGTTTCTGGCAACTGGCCTTGGTGGTAACCAAGAGAAACTTAAAAGTCTCGGCGCTAGAGATCCAGCTTTGGGTGGCGCTTTGGTAAAAGATGTGGTGGAAGGCAAGAGGGATAACGACGCCGGAAAGGTTATACTGAGCGATGGTGTGCAACCTTGGTAGGCAGAATGAATTAGCGACGCTGCCTTTCTAGTTCCTAGATCAATACATTTACTCCTTCCATCTATCCATATAACAGCGTCTGCGGCGGAGAACCGTTTGAACAAGAAAAGGCGTGCGCCCAATTAGTTATTACTACAGAGATTTAACGCCATAGACACCTAAAAACCTGCTATTCCAACTTATTCAATACAGACAATACAGTTGCAATGTAGGAGTGCAGTGTTGTCTTTATTGACCTACCAACAAATCGTAACAATTAAGCTATAACCAAAGCAAGTGTCCCCTGTCGTCACCTGCAGCAGACGGGAGATTGTCCACTGACGAATTACCCCTTTCAGCAAAGTATAACCACTAGCGTAACATTACCATGCAACCCTACCGCAATTTTAGATTTGATATTTCGCTTCTCACCCCCGTGGCATACTCTGCCATTCCTGAATCCACGACAATAGACTGGCATCATCACTGGCATGCACGCATGCATTTACAGTAGCTAAAGATCTGAACTCGCGGTGATCCTTCACTGATGCATCTCCTTCATCTTATGGTGATTGCTCTGGCTAGCCTGTCTGGTCTTGAGGCCCGCAGGACCGCCAAGGTAGAGATAGGAGACTCTGTGAGAGCGGAGGTGCCAACGACTGTGACCCTGATCAACCATAGTGGCTTCAATGCGACACGCGTTGTTCTAAGTTTCTACCCTCCAGCATGGGACAGCAAGAGCAAGTTTGGAAGAACGGGAAATCAATGCCTGCTGGTCAAGGAGGTGGGCATCAAGCCGGAAGCGAACAATACACTGAGCGTTACTATCCCAGCCTTGGTCGCGCCGGCGGGCGCTCTGTGTGCCCTGGAATTCAGCTTAAATAATGCCGCGACCGAGCCCAGCCAGGGCATCAGGGGCATCATCGCCGACAGCAACGACTTTGCGCTGGTTAAAAGGAATGACATGGACTGCCTTCACAACATCACTGCCGATGATGCTAACTACGAGTGCACACGAGGCTGTCCGGGAATACGGTGGCCACCCATAAGCATCGTCCAAAACGCTCGTGCGATGGAGGCACTGACGGGCGGTGGAGCGAGCACGCCGACGAGATCGACTTGCGCTCCGACAACGTGGAGTGCTTCGAACCGCCGTGCGAAAAAGGATGAACTTTAGTCACGAAGTTTTCATATGCACAAAGCGGAATCAATACCCTCCGAAAATTGAGATTTTTTGGTTTCAAGGAAATGTCTTCTACTCAAAGAGATTCTTAGTGTAGGATCTTAATATGATAATCGGTTTTTAAAGCCAGAAATGTTTCCGTGGATGGCTCTCCTGTACTAGGGTCACGATATTTGACTGTGCCATAATCATTTGCTGGCCTTGCGGATTGTCACCCAATATTTCAGTTCGAATGCTTGCTCCCTTGCCGAATACGTTCACCGTACTAATTTACGATTAGTTAAACTAGAATACACAGGACTCAGGGCTGGCCTACACGATAGAATACGAATGGAATAGGAATGAACAATACAGCAAGACCACCAAGCAGCGAGTTGCCCGGGCCTATATCCAGTCGATTGAATAGTGCACGTGCCTTTGGAACTGTGTTAGTATCGATGACTAGAGCGGGGATTCGAACGTGACTCACAAATAGCGGAAAGGCTGCACCTAGCGAGGCGCGAAACAAGGTGGCTCCTGCAAAGACAGATGCTGTGTACGGGGCATACGCAATACCGATGTACATATAGACTGAGTTGAATAGCGTCACCACACCTATCGCGAACATGCCAGAGCCAATGATTGGTACAATCCAATGTATACTTTCTCGCGACGTCCAACCAAACCAGAACAAGCAGATGGGGAGTGCGAATGCCCCAACAAATGCAGGCGGAAGGACCATCTCTGGCTTGAACTTGCCAGAGGTCATCGAAGGTATGAGAGTCTTCTTTATCCACAAGAGGTAGAGAGGGAGAGATAGCGCCGTAAATGCAAAGATACCAAAGAACACAAGACCTTGTTCGCCCGAGGTGAACTGGTATAGCTCGCCGAACACGATAGGAAAAGACTCGAACCAGATGAAGAGTACACCGTAGAGAAGAGCGGCATACATATCGACAAGTAGAACGATAGGTTCTGTAAAGGTGATGGTGAATGCTCTAGCAAGAAGAAGCAAGTTATCCTTTGGAGAATAGTGCCGTGCTTCGGCTTCTGTCGGACTCCTCAATCGATTATCTCCAGTCGCTTTCCTCAGTCTCTTGGCTCGGTTATAGAGGATGTTGGATGCACTGGTTTCCGGAAATAGGAAAAACATCATGATGAGCACAAGGATACACAAGAATGTAAATACCCAGATAGTCCATCGCCACCCCATCGCTGGTGCAAGATATCCTCCGATGATGGGTCCGAAGACAGGTCCCATGACGCCCGCAGCCGACCAGAGGCACAGCAAATATGGTACTTTGGTCTGAGGATATATATCGTTGATAGTACCGCCGCCAGTAGCTAGGCAAGGGCTGCCACAGAAGCCTGTCACCCATCGAAAGATCAGGAAAACGGTAATATTTGAGGCGAAACCGACGGGAAGTTGGAACAAGATGAAGGCGAGGAGTGTCCAGAAGAAGATTCCAGTGCGACCCACCCTTGGCATCTCCGACAAAGGTGACCACAGCATGGGTCCGAAGCCATAGCCCCTATGAGAGAGGATCGAGACGTTAGCAATTGTCCTGGCCAGTTCACCTGGGTCAAGCTCCGGAGAGGCGTGCTCGTTTTCTTACAGCGTAAACAGCGATAGACCCAACGTTGCGACGACTGGAATGACACCAAACTCTTCCATAAGATAAGGCTCACCAGGGACATATATTGAGCTGGCTATATATACGGCAAAATTGAGTAGACACATCTGAAAGGCTATCAAGTGCTTTAGACCACTGGGCCAGTTTTGAGGGTTCTGCACGTGAAGTCTTGGGTCAGTAGGTGTACCGTTAGAAACACAATGCTGCGTACGCATACTTCTTCGTCATCTGGGTCATACCAGCATACTATAATAGTGTCTGTGTCGTCATCTCTGTCTTGCGTCTGCTGAGCCTGGGCTGCAGCATCCTGTGCTTCCTTGTTCGGCTCATTCCCAGTGCTGTTAGTTGTTTCCTGAGGCTGCAACTGCCGTGCACAGCTTTGCTGCGTCGCTGCTTTCCATAACAAAGGGTTGATCTCGTCGGGATACTGGAAAACTTTGTTGCCAGTAACGAAGCGTACGAGTTGGCCGAAGATGGTGCTCTGAATGTGAAACTTCATGTTTAGGGTTGGGTCTGCCGCCTTATCCTGTGCGAACAATTGTTCTTTTGACAGTCTTTAACCTCCAAAATAAAAGGTACTAATAGCTTGGGCGAGTAATGTCAAAGCCGTCTGATATAGAATCTGTGTGGTAAACAGACTTTGGTTTTATGTCAACGATCGCGGACTTAAAACTTATTCCCGCCTAATCTGCGGGTGTAGATCAACTGCTGATGAATCAAAGAATTGGCAGTCTATATTCACCACCTCGCTAGCGACAGCGCTTTCAAAGCCAGAAAAAAAGCACGCCTATAGACAAATATGCCCCAAACAATTTGGTGCACAGAATGTCATATAATTGGTTAATCATACAGGCCATACATGAGGATGTCTTGGGAATAGGTCTCCTAGAGTTTAATTTTGTAAACTGAGCGGTTCCCAGACTTAACTCATCAACCCAATCAAGGATTGTTTATAATCTTAACTAAAGTACCTGAAAGCTCCACCACTCTCTCTATAATCCAATATGACAGACTGATTCCTAGAGTGGATTTTGAAGCCAGCCACAAGTTTAAGACTAGTTTGATTTTTCAGGAGCTAAGTACAAATACATCTATAACTGTAAACTATACTCAAAGCTTATCGCATAGCGACTACCAAGTAGCAGGTAGGGCCACCCCAAAGGATCAGCGAAGCCCAAGATAGTGTAGACCAGCAGCAATTTAACTTTCCGGACATTGAATGCGGCCAAACTTGAGTCCGAAAACAGGCAAATCAAAAGAAGGGGAGCACAACATCTCCAAGATTCAGGAAACATCCTTGGAACCCACCGCGTTGAGTGCTTGGGCCAATGTCTCTCTCCGTGTCTGCAGTCAATGTCAATATCCTGACATTACGCAACTTAACAAGGCAAAAAGAGGAATTGTTCATAATATAAATCTTAATGTCTAGGCTATTACTTACATCTTTTCATGAAAAAAGAATCTTAGCTAATGCGAATCGGAAGTACCGGTAGATTGAAATAAGAATGAGCAACAAAAGTCTTGATTTAGGATAGTGATCCAGTTAGTTTGCGGTGTATGTATAAATGTTCTGCTTTGGGTATTATGTGGGAGGCTTGTTATATAAGAGTTGGTCTTTCTGTGCAAACACTTGAGAAAAACTATTGTCTGCTGATCAACGGAAATGACACAGGGCTTGAGCTTTGGAAGTGTACCTGTTGGGTGAATATGTGCTCTGTAGAGAGAGTATAAGGTTGCCTATGAAATGCGACTTGTATTTTCGCTGTTCGCAACGCGACAATTCTTCTTTCCAGAGTATCTAAAGGAGTTTGGAAATCACACCCATTTATATGGTAGCGAGTACAACGATGACATTTCTGTTCACTTTCATTGGATGCGAGGATGAGTATAGAATGACCGGACTGCGTTGCTTGCCATATCCTCTGTGCAAAAGCTAATGCGGAGGCAGCAGCAGGGAATCCTTGCCCTCGCACTTTCCACTGATATACCATGAGCCTTCCGTTTTGTCTCATCGCTACATCCCAAAAGAGGAGGCTAGTGAGATGCATTGAGCTACCACGACACTGGAGCATGATTAAAGAGTAGTTGTCGAGGATGATCACCATGGGATGCATCTCCTAAGCGAAAGGGGACTCTCCATTTCTCCAAGGCACTCATGAAAGAGGAGCTCGAATGCATAAAATTTTCTGATTGAGGACGACTTCCATACGCTTTATGTGCTCGGTGGTCTCAGCAAGAATACCCCTCGTGCCATCAAACAAGTTACTATCAAGCTCTGCGCAATCATGAGCGAGGACAATTAGGAGCTCATTCAATGGATGGTAACAGCTCCTTGCCACCCGTCTCAAGCACACAGCTCAAGATCGAATGCCCTTTTGGTGTCGGCAGACAGTTTTGCAACCATGGTAGTATTTGGCTGACATTAGATCTTTGGCAAACTCAAATGGCTCGACTCACAAATGACGCCGTGCCTTGAAGCGAGAAGGAGTTCCACAAATCATTCTTCAGCGGCACAAGGCATGCCAGTTTGATTTAGAGCTGTAAGAGGTAGAGTATTAGATAAATGTAGATTAGTTTAGCGGTCTTTGCACTTGACGACATAGACGGTGATTTCAACTGCCGATGCAAGTTCTCGGCAACACCTTTGCCGCAACTCTGCATATCGGCATTCGGCAGAAACTATTCGCCGGCTCAGCTCGATGATATGTAACATCGCTTAAAGATCAACACCACCAATGCTGAGTCAAACAGGGTGTAGCTCAAATAAATGGCTGTCTTTGTAAAATGTCTGCAGCAATCCAGGATGGCTATTATTGGGTGAGAGACAAGCTAGATTGGATCGCCCATACTACAGGAGGGATGCTCCCGCAATGCTGTTGCCGGAAGCCGAGCCCCACTGACGGGAAGTCTCACGCATCACTGCTCAGTTGCCGCGACATACACCAAAATATCGGCGCCGACTGAAGCTCGTGTGTAAATAGTTGGGTTCTGGGTTACGAATTGTGCACATGAGCAACTATAAAAAATAAGAAAAAGTGAATCTCCTGTCTTGAATTTCTGCTGTCGGTTGATTATTTGATAGCTTAAAGATTTCAAGGCCTATTTTCACAGTTTTCGGACAGCTTTACAAAGATGGCACTTCTGATTCACATCAGAAGTTCACTAGAGATACGGCCTGCGGTTGCCGGACCAGCCCTGATAGTTATCTTAGTATGCTCTTCAACTCATTCATTGCTTCTTTTAGACCTGGGGACCCTTGGTGGCCTGATTTCAACTAATGAATGTATGGTACAGGTGATTACTTATGCCGTCGGTTCAGTCATCTACAATCTCCTTGTATCGCCCCTTCGACATATTCCAGGGCCAAAACTATGGGCGATCTCACAAATTCCTTAATGTTACATGCAGGCATTTGGAAATGGTCACAAACGCATCTCTGAACTTCACCAGAAGTACGAAGACGTAGTACGCGTCGCTCCAAACATGGTTTCTTTGTCCGACCCAAAGGCATGGAAGGACATAATGGGTCACCGCAAAGCAGGAAATGCCGAGAATGAAAAAGACTTAACATTCTTTCACAATAGAGCGAAGAGTATCATAGCTTCAGATACCGCCAGTCATGGTCGCATGCGTCGCATTCTGTCTCATGTTTTCTCTGCGCAGGGAATGCTTGCTCAAGAGCCGCTGACCAGGGGTTACGTCGAGCTTCTATTTGAAAGGCTGAAAGAGGAGAGCCACAATGGCGCCACGCCATTGGATTTAGTCAAATGGTACAACTGGACGACATTCGATATCATTGGTGACCTAGCATTCGGCGAGCCATTTCGCTGCCTTGAGACCTCGAGCTACCACTCTTGGGTGGCTATCATCTTTGAAGGCATCAAACAGATGACGATCCTGACACAAATTCGACGCTTGTGGCCACAAATTGACAGCATTATAGATCATGGGGTTTTTCAAAGGCTGTATGCGAAGAGGCAAGAAAGTATCGAGTTGACAAATGAGAGAGTTGCCAAGCGCATGGAATTGGGGTCGAGCCGTCCAGATTTCATGTCAGCTATGATATCCAAGGACGACTCTGGTAATCAGGTAATACCACCTCCTCTCCGCCCTCACTTTGGTAAATAAAATTTAGATCAACATACTAGAAAATGACGCTCGACGAGATACGGCAAAGCTCTCAGACAATCATTGTTGCCGGCTCTGAAACTACCGCCACTGCTCTATCTGGAGCGACATTTCTATTGTGCACTAACCCTCAAGTTCTTTCCAAATTGGCGAATGAAGTTAGGTCCTCATTCGCTTCCGAGGCCGACATCACTTTGCTTAGCGTTCAGAATCCTTGAGAATGGCTCGGGTTGCGATCTGTTATAGGCTACTTGTTCATCGCACGAAGCAGGGCACGTCACCTTCGACAGTGAGTGAACGACCGACACGGTGTTGTCGGTGTCGATGGACTAATCGTCTTGCACTATCAAATACATTACACTCCTCTTCATTGTGATATCACCTTCGTTGTATTTCTTATATGAGGACAATCGCGATCCCTTTTGCGACAAAAAATCTGCTCCAATGTCGCGCACGATATTGGCAAGCTACTGGTGGCACTAATCTTCCTCTGCTTGACTATGAGTGGGAGGACAGAAATATCTGTGTAGTGACTAACCGATGAGAACTTTTGAGGATAGGCTTTCTTTGATGTTGTCATGCGGCGTTTGCTTGTCGAGGTCAGGTACTTCCTCGTCGAGCATTATTTTCACAAAAGCCAACAACTAATCGAGCCAGTGAAGTCCTTCTTTTAAGAAACAGCCTATTCAGTTTATTCCAACCAGCTACTAGCTAATATTAATCCCCTTTACTCTTTTTACAAATCTGAATGCACCCCTCTTTTCTGTATTAAATGTAGTCCTTTTCAGAATGAAGTATTATGGCAAAGACATCAGACCCTGTAGTAACTCATTTAATGGCAATAAAGCAATATACCAAATACCTAGCGTCTCCTCCTAGGCATAAACTAGAGAAAAGTGTCCTGCGAAGCGACAAGTGTGATTGCGTGAGTACACTTTTCAGACCTACTGTCTGTGTGGCGAGTGTAAGGATATTGCACTGTAAGTGGTAGCGGTGGATGCAAGTACGTGAGTATACTTTTACACCTACTGGTAGTCTGACGAGTATAAGCAATCACGAGAAAACATTGCGCACCAAATTTTGGTGTAACGAGTACAAGACACACAAGTACACTTTTTGTACTAAAGTTTGCGGTAGCGAGCATAACACAGCTACGACTACGGTGAGTTGAAGATTTCTTTCTCTCGTGCCGTTCGCCTTCTCTCTTCCCATCATTCATAACATGAGGAGTTCTAGGTGCTGCCAATCTTTCTTTGCCCTTGATCATCTTCAGACGTATGGTGGCTCTTGGGTACCGGCAAGGCATTTTCTACTTGTGGAACTAGCTGAATTCACTCGGAGTGATGCCATTAATGCTGGAGTTGTGAAGACAACAACGGACAGTCACGCCTGGGTTGCAGAACAAATCTAGTATCCGGCGAATGGCTATTGTCAGTAATATATGGTATGCAATTATTTCACTCAATCGTATATAGTGTTCGACTACTACATATGCTCAGCACATATCGCAAGAGGAAATATGGTTTATTTGGCTAGCTGCAAAGACCGAAGAGAGATACTTGCTCTGACCGTCGCACCAGAGCCAACATCAAAGCTCGCCTCCTTGATCAGACCAGGGGATTGAAGAATGTCTTGGAACGTGATCTCAACTGACCCAGTCTCGTCGGCCTTGTTCATCAACGCGATCTTGAAGTTAGCTGGGTTGGCAAGCAAGTCTTCTGTCACGGGAATTCTGAAGGCCTGATCAAACGAAGGGTTAAAGATGTCCGTGCCGGGGCTGTAGGTCTTTGCGGCGGTGCGGTACTCCTTCGTACCCCAAGTCACCTTAATGCTAGGATTCAGCTCGTCGCGCTGCCCCTGCAATCCCAGAGCGCTTGCAATGAGTATGGTGGCAAGCCCGACGATTTGACCTTCACTTTTGCTCTGTGTTGATTTGATCGCACGCGCGTCGTCGACGAAGTTGTAGAACTGGGCGCGGACGGTGATCTTGGCATCGGTGTCTTCGCCCTTATGGGTGAGCGCTAACTGCTGCGACCCGCCCGCCAGCAAAATATCCTTGACAGTGGTCGTGGCAATGCCAATGTCATCGTCGCCGCCGAGATCGTCATCCTGGACATCAATGAAGATACGTTGGTCCATGTCCGCCACGAGGAAATCATGGGTCTCGTTCCACTCTGGATCTTTGTCGTTCTTCCTCACGGAGGTGCGCCATTCATCCTCGGCGCCTATGTTGACCTTGCAGTAGCAGTCAGGTACGTCTTTGATGATCTTGGCCAACAGCCGCTTGGACTTGCTCTTCTTCGGGCCGCTGATCCCGATGGATCTTTCGATTGTCAAGCGCAGGGCGCCTATGTGTGGTAGGTAGGTACGAAGGTAGTCGTTGTTGCTGTCAAGCTTGACGAGGTAGCGGTTGGGGAGAACGGCCATGGAGCCGATGATGTCAAGAATGACCTTGCGCACAGCACTATCTACCACAGCCCAGTCTGCTATGTTGGCTGCGTTGGTGAAATCGAGCTTAAGCTCTGGAGGGTTGATGAAAGCGACCTGAGCAGCACCAATCTTATTGCCAATTCGTAAGTATCGAGACAGACAAGTAGGGTTAGTGGGAGCACCATACCAAGGGAATGATATTTGTCAAGGGAGCAAGTAGAATAGATAGTCTACCCTTCAAAGACACATGTTCGATGCCCTATGGTCCAATTTTAGCAACGTAGAAATATTGCAAGCACACCGGGCATTGCAGCCTACTCACCAGCTTGGGGATCATCTTGCCATCCAGCTCGATGTCACTCTTTCCCTCCCATACCACGTCCATGTCGAGCTTGATGCCGCCATTATCGGCCTTGTGAACGTCCACCTCAGACACTTGCATCGGAATCGGCCCCAGGTCAAGCTTAACAAATTTGAGTGTGGCTAGGGGACCTGGGAGCATGGAAGCGAACATGGGCTCGACGATGTCCTTGACCATTTTGCAGCCGGCAACGTTGATGTTGGGCCATAGCTGCTCGATGATGTGGTTTAGGAATCCTATTGAGGTGTCAATTTGATGTGCAGATAGAGAGTACGCACCCTTTTAAACGAGCATCTGAACCTACCTGCGGATTCGGTGCCTTTAGAGGCGGTCAATTTGTCAACAAGACCTGCCATGTCGTGATAACCGCCTTTTGTTTTGGTGGAGATAGAAACAATCTGGTGAGAATTTAATCTCAGAATAGAAATATCCCAATTCCCTGCAGATCAACTAAGTGTGTAGAATACAACAAGTACTGTCGACATGTATGTCAGTGACTCAACAGGATGAGTGATTCCCTCCAAGGGTGGGGCACTCGTCTGGCAATGTGGGATCCGTCACAGGAACAAATTCGCAGATGGCTCTCAACATTCGAACTGTGAGCAATAATGACAAGTGTACGACCTGAATGCCCTGATCTTGATTTCGTTGACGGTGGCTTGTTTTCCGTGTTCCTTGGCACCTGGACAATTGACGTCATTTGTGAAGCACCAATCAGAATGAGATTGGAGTCACCCGCGCGATTGAATGGCAGACCAGATGAAGAGTTCAGCTTAGGTGCGGACCGTACCGTATGGTAGGCACTTAAGTAAAGGTAAGGTAATGAATTGTCCTACTCAGTGTGCGTGTAATGGGTACTTCTTCCTCGTCTCGGTTATTACTTTACAAGTACATTGCTCTATGATGTCATTTCTCACGTTCAAATTCGTCGTCATCATGCAATTTTACGCCTCCACTAAACTTATACAAGTATCGTGAGAACGGGAGAGGTACCTAAAGTGAAAGCTAAAGCAAATCAGTCGGCCTTACAGTTGCTACAGCATGGAGTCAAAGATCACCGCTTAGTTATTCTCGACAGTATGGAATTGATGATTACTAAAACAACTGGCGGGAATTTCTATTGCCAAGGACAGGCCAGCTTTCATCTGGAAACAATAGACAAGGCCTTCGGGGTTGGCTGTAAATTACCCCAAGCCTCTCCGCCTGGCCTGACGCTCGCAGAACTGGTCAAGTGCTTCTCCGATCTTGATATCATTGATATCCTAGTAGTGAAAGATCTAGTCGGCATCTAGTTGAACACATTTCGAATTGAGCTTTGGTACAAGAAAATCAAGAGCCCAGAGAACAAGACAACAGACGACACTAAGGTCCAGTATTTAGTGTTAGAATCAGCCTGTCAAAGTATGAATTAGTGGATCTAATTGGGAATATGAAGGTCTTAAAGGCCATAAATATGGAGTTGACATTCTCCTGCTTCAGGGCTAATTACCTTTTTACAACTGGCGGCGAATCGATCAAAATCCTGTCCGCCAAAACTACACTCCCTAGAGCATCTTTTGCGGCTAGGATTACATACACGTCAACTACCTCGTGGTTGGTTGTAGAACTTATCACTATAAGTCGCGGAACGGCTGGTGGTTTATTTAAGACCGATGTAGCCGACAACACAGCTAATGCAATCCTTCCTGTCATTAGTAATCTTTCATTGAAGGAAGACTCGACTCTCATCAATATTATTGACAAAGCCTTCGATAACTTAGATATCGTCTTTGAAAAAACCCACTCAGTTGATTTAAATGGAGCTTCGGGTGCGCCTGTGTCGATAAGTTCACTGGCACTACCCTACAAGACAAGGAATGTCTGCAATTGCCATCTATAGCTTCGAAGCTAGCTCACGATTAGCTAGTCTCTCATGACTCGCAGTGAACGTATCATTAGCCATTGCGGCGCAAGTGCTTACACTTAGAGTAAAAGTATACGAGGCTATAACACCTGCCCGTCGTCCTTGCATCCCAGTCCGTCGCACTGTACGGCGCAGAGCCTCCTTTTGGGCTGAATAAGCTGTAGATAATTTGTGTGCTGTGGGAAAGTCTCATACGCCCTTTTTAAAGAAGCTTTGTATACAGTGGAAAAGGATAACTCTTGTCTACTATAGTTCTCGTTAGCTTGTCTATAGCTCTAATCAGACTGGAATGATAGCTATGTTAAAGGCATAAGATTATAGTAGATAGTTTATTTAATGGCAATAGACACAATTATCCTGAACCTCATTTGACCGAGGAGAGCCTACATGATTGTTGGGTAAATTGGGCAGTGGAAAGCTCTGCGGGCATTGGCTTTCAACTGGCATCTCGACGCACCAGTCAAAGAAATTGCTCAGTAGCGCAGAGTATGATAAGACGTCTCAAGGCGTCTGAATCGCCCACACCAACATGTGGGCCAATCGCGGCTTGAATTTGCTCCTTGCTATATTTTGAGAGAATATTACTTAAGCAAGTGTCTCTTGATAATGCTTCCATTGTAGGAAGATCAGGGTCAGGCGCGGAATAATTGACCCAAGCCTGATGGCTCTCCATTGCAAGTACGCAGTTTTCCTCTTCATATGCTAGCCATACGGCCTGGCTACAGGGCAATGGCATGTTGAGGATAAGGTCATCGCTTAGCGATTCATAGTAGGGCGAAGTCTTTTTCGTCCTAGGATCATAGTTATTGAGAAAATTGACCATGTTGACAATGAAAACTGTTCTACGTGTTGTTTCGGTGGTTCTCCACCGACCCCATGTCGTTGTGGTCGGCGAACATGGTGTTGATTTGAAATCAGAGAAAGCGTTTATGTCAGAGCTGCGAATCTGTAGGTATGGCTCAATGTAGGTTCTTGTCATCTGCCGAATGTTAGTAACAATATGAGCCCGAGACCGGGATAGCTACAATTCTGTACCTTCAAAAGAAAGCCCATCTCCAGATTTTTGACTGGCATCGTGAGACTCCACGCTTCAGACTCATTGGCAATGCCTTCCTTAATCTCCAAGCTTTCGTAGATTAGTATAGCGTGTATCGCGTCCCACTGCTGCATGCACTCGTACGACGGCTAATATCCATCTCAGCACTTGATCAGAGCAACCAGGGCCGCAGTAGTACTTACAAAACTCCCAATTAATCCATGCTTTGCTGCGTCTACGGCTCGCCGGAAAAATTGTTTATTGGTCGAGAAATGCATACCAGCACTGCTGCAGATGGCCATTGAGGTAAAAGGGAAAGACGCTAGATCGGGTTCAACATTTTTCACGTTGGGCAAGTGAATAAACGGAGAGAAACAAGAGCCTTTGATCAGCGAAGAAGCGTAGTCGCCAAGTATATGGGTGAGAATGAGCGCTGTCGACGACGTCGAAGTATCTGAAGGGGACTCCGTGTTGTCATTCGAAGCTTGAGTAAGGGATGAAGAGGGTGGTGTGTCATGGGTTATTGGCGATGTATAAGATATGTCGATTAGGGATTCGAGATGCGGGACAGAAGCCACAGTTGCGAAGCTTGCTACATTCAAGTCCAAGGTATCCAGCGGATACGGAGAGAGTGGAAAGTTCCAAGACGGGACTTCCGGGGCAGAGGAGTGGCTACCGGCCGAGAGACACGACTGGAGACCCTGATTCTGAATATTTGAGGGTTCCTCTATATTCTTGGGGTGATTGGATACCTCAGCAGCCGATGGTGTACTATAGAGGCATGTCGTTCGTCTCTTGGCACAGCGAGAGCAAGTGGGCTGGGTGTAGCAGCATTTGGCCTTGGCCTGAACACACGCATCGCAGGCTTTGCGGCGATTCCCACGCTTGGCGGGACCTCTGCAACGCCTCCGATGACGCATGAGCAAGTCACCTACGTCAATAGTGTGAGTAACGGAGAGAAATGGCTACACGGGTACCGGAAAGAATGGCGAATGAGGAAGGTGGACAACAAAAACCTACGCCGCTGGCAAGACTTAGAGCACATCTCGCATGAGAACTGACTCGACTCCATACTAGCTATGATTGAACCCATGATCACCAGTATCGATGAAAGTAGATCTATTAGGTATCCGAAGTACCTGGATGAATTATTGAAGGATGAGTGGTGTGTTACGGAGAGTCGCGGAGGTACAAGGCCTCCGTGATGCGAGTGAGCGTTATTACTCATCAGCCGGATGTCCATGGTTAGATCACGTGATAACCACAGATCTCCGAACATCTTAAGCTGTTCCGGAGCCGAATGGTCTAGCGTTTCTCGGACGTGGATGTTGGTCGTCCCGTGTCTTCGGAGTTTAAAGGTCATTTTTGTTGACTCTTGTTGAATAAAATAGAATGGATTCCTCAATTAACAACTAATGGCCTACGATATCACTACCGAACCCCTATTTATTAGTCCAGAGCTCAGCGCTCAGTATTCCATAATATCAGTACTGATAAATTTATGCTCGGCCTTGTCTGTGAAGCACTTCGCCTATCACGAGCACCTCCTACAAGTCATTGTCCTCCATGGTATTGTCTACAGAAGGGATGAGCAATCCTGAGCTGCCATTCAAGGCACCATCATCGTTGCCAGGTGAGTAGCTCCGAGGATGGCTCCAAGACGGCTACAGCGAGAACTCATTTCCGAACACCATTAGATATCGACGCTGCGCAACCCTCGAATGAGGACAATGTCTATCCCGCCGATACTTTCCCACGACTACAGCGAATCCTTTTTATCGCAAGTGTGTGTATGTCCATGTACATGAACCAGCTGGGCTTGTGTAACACTCTAACCACGCTCCATATCATCGGACACTCTTTTAACATCAGTAACTCCGGCACATTATCATGGTTAATTGCTGGCTACAGCTTAACCATTGGCACATTCATCCTCATCGGTGGGCGTCTTGGTGATGAATTTGGCAATAAGAGAATGTTTGTCCTAGGCATGAGCTGGCTCTCCTTGTGGAGCTTGGTGGCAGGACTCTCCGTCTATTCCACTCATGTTCTCTTCGTATTTGCTCGCGTCTTCCAGGGTATGGGTCCTGCACTGACTTTGCCCAATGCTCTTGCCATCTTCGGCAAGTCCTTTTCCGAGGGCCCGCGAAACACGGCCTTTGCATGGTTCGCCGCAACAGCGCCATTTGGCGCCATGTCAGGACTCCTTTTTGGACCTCTTTTTGCCATGGCTTGGTGGCCCTGGATCTTTTGGAGCCAGGCCATTGGTGTCGCTGTTGTAGCTGCATTTGCTTCCTGGACAATTCCAGACTTGCATGTACAAGAGAAGCAGATACAACCGCTTCGTCGAAAATTGGACCGCCTGGATATTCCTGGAGGTGCATCTGGCGTGATGGCTCTAGTCTTGTTCAACTTCG